TTGAGTTAATTTGCGAAGTATTTTTCGATTATTATATTTCCATCGGTGTCACAGAACCAACCGCTTTTTGACCAATTCCTTGTAATGGGTAAGAGCCATTGTTGGCAATCAAGAACTGAGCCGCCATTTGGGGACGTCCAAAATTAAGCCTTCCCAGTGAGTGTCCTCCATAAACTATCGTCGTGACCATGAGAGCAATGTCTCCGTCAAAAGAGAGCGCCAAAAAAGAGAACGATTCCACCCTCGCAACACCTAAGTCTCGCTGCGCCAGCACCACCCATGGGACGTCCAGGAACCGGCGGGCGGCGACGTCCACAGCCAAGAAGGAAGCCGTGTCCGAGCAGGCGGTGTCCAGGCAAGTGATCAAACCCGCCAAGTCGGTCAGCGCCGCCTACCAAACCACTATGCTGGACACGGAACAACTGGATAACCTGCTCAAGGATACCCCACCGTCAGACGTGGCCAACGGCAAGGCCGCGGAGGAGCACGGTGATTCGGCGGTGGCCGGGGTCCTTCGCGGGAAGACCGTGTCTGCATCCACTGGTCCCGTGAAGGTTGTCGCCACGGAGCACCATCGCGTTGTGACTGACGAGATCGCGTGAGATTCATTTATAGCACCTTCAGTCACAACCTTATGCCGGTTCCTCGAGTACGTTCGCGACTCGGTTTGCCCCTGGTTTCTTTAATCTCACCATGGATCAAGTATTTAGCTTTATTTTTTGTTTGTTTTTTGCTTACAAAGCGACAGCATATCCCATTAACACAAAGACAACACTCGGAAGAGTTTTCGCCATCGCCGTGATGTTCCGTGTATAGTACAAGTGTTACATGCGATTCTAACGCACGCGCTGCCCACTTATGGGGCTGTTTTCGCTCGCGATGGTCCACTGCTACAGGGAACACTCGAATGCACACACCATCAATACTCCTGGCCCTCTAAGAGCAAGTGAATTAAGAAACAGTCTTCATGAAAATCAATAGTCTGTCAAGAGGAGACGGAACATTTAACCACCAGTAGTCTTATGCATATCTAAGCCGCTATGATTCCGTAAGATAGCGAAATCTAAACATGCTGCTCATACAGGGGTTCCCTTGAACAGTGGACCCGTCTGTACGTATGCGGTCCTAATGTGGTCGTTCCCGAAGTCTCAGTTCTCGCACGCTGTCCTCATGTCAGCAGCGGCACTTCGCCTTTTAGCTTGTATGGATTATCCTTTCAAGTGTCGCACAGAACAAATGGAGGTACTTATGCAGCTTGAATACAAGCTCACCGAAGCCAGCATGATGGCGTAATGACACTTGAACGCATGCGGGTACTGCGTCTCGATTAATGTGCACAAGCACGGTCCTGGCTTCTTCCATCGGTTTTGACGGACACAGGGGATCGCGCGTGACAACCCGTTTGAACACGATTGGATTTGATATGAGGGGTATAACGTATGTCCCAGAACCGCCATATTACTATGAGACACGCCGTAGTGGAGGGCTCCGGAAATTTCGGTCCCCTGGGGTTCTTTCACGCTCATCCAAGTCCGGGCCCACGGGCCCACAGCATTTTCGCCTCTTTTGCAAATGCAGCCACCGCAACTGGGATTCGATCTCGTGACCTGCAGCCGAGTGACTTGGCCTCTAGTGGGGCTGAACGTGATGGTGGTATTCAACCCACTATAGACTTTGCTTTCACCAGCGCTAACAGAGCTGGTTGTTATGTATAAACGTGCAGTTCCTTACTTGAGCATGAAGTGAAACGGCGTGGTCGATCACGGACAAAGAGAGCACGACAGCACTTTTTGTCCGCATTCTATACGCGCTGACATTCACTTCAGATTTCACAGGAGGAAAAAAAACCGTCATGATGGGTTGCGCGCGAGAGTACAAAGGCTAAGGGCGCAGCCTTGTCAGTGCATTTTTGAAAGGTCACGCGCCAATTTGCGCAGCCCAAAGAGGAATATGGCGGCGCCCAGGGAGGCGTTTTCGAAAAGGTCTATCTGCAGCATCAAAAAGCCCAATGTCATTCCCTTTATAGGCTTAACAGTGAGACATTCTACATTTGACAGGTTCGACGCTCCGCGGGAGGACACGACGACGACTTCATTCGAAGCGCACGTGCGTATGCGCTTGTCTCGCCCTCGGCTACGAGAGCGCAGAACAATCGCCGAATCTCCTCGGCGGGAAAACCAGATGCACGGCCGCGGCGCGGCCGCTTCCCAGGTCGACCAACGATCGTCGTCACGTCCTTCAGCACCAGGAAGAACATCCAAATCGAAATCGGCGTGCCCTGACTGCGGTGGATTTAGCTGTGACGTCACCGGCATACAGACAGGTAAATTATCTAACGGACCTTGTGTACGCCCAGTCTAGGCCACTGACGAATACTGTAAACTGTAATTCTGATTAAGGAAACAAGGCCGAGACTACCAGCTAGCTGAAATTGAATGTCTAATCTGAAAGAGTGAAGGTGAGGCAATGTCGAGAATATTCGTTCGGCTGCGATGCGTAGCCGGACAAATATTCGGCAACGTACAAATATTCGGCTGCGCGCTCTGAACTTGGTGATGGCGTGCAGTGCCGATACTCCTTTTTTTTTTTTTTGCACCTGTTGCGTTGTACAGTGCTTTCGCTGGCTTCCTACGAGCTTTTTTTTTTTTCTCCATGGGTACAATGCAGTCAGTGAAGCAGAGTGAATAAAACTTCGGCATGCGCTTCCCCTCCCAGTCGCTAAAGAGGGGAACGCGAAAATTTCCCCGTACATCGACTTAGGGGGTCGGGGGAGGGTGAACGTTGCGATGAACCTACGCCCGAAATGCTGCTCATTGTGAAATTCCGCCATGTTGAAGGAAAACTGTCACCTTGTCTGCTTCGATTAGAGTTACTGTATACGCTACCTAAGGGTAGCTTATAAAGTAACTCTAGCTCCGGTCGGCTACGAACGCCGCGGTGTCGAAAACCGGAACTGCTTGCTGTTCGGGTGAATTGGTGTATCGTAACTGTAAGCAAAGAGCCACGACACACACGAAGAGGCAGATATAGCATTTTATGTGTCTCCTAATGCGTGTCTTCCACGTACGCTAATATTGGTTCTCTTGCTATACATTTCACTCGCATACACGGACGTAGCCAGAAAGTTTTTTCAATTGGGGCGGGGGGGGGGGGGGTCTATGCGCAAGCAAAGTTGAATCATTTCGGGGTAGTTTTACCAGGTGTTCTGTGGTTTTACCCCTCTTTCTTTTTTGGATGCGTTCATGACACCATTGGCTGTTCCAGAGGGGGGGGGGGGGGTGCGTTATGAGCGATGCCCCCCTCCTAAGAAATAAATAAAATATCTCGTGAAAGCACTGTGAGCACACCTTAACAGTGTTTTTTTTACAAGTACCTACATCGCCCATTGGGCATTGTTGTAGGGGGGTTACAGTAGAAAATAGAATACAAAACAGCAAAATTAAAAGCAAATAAATCGTGCATTACAGTATACAGGAGAAATCAACACTTGTAGTACAGCATTAGAACAAAAGTACAAAACACAGGATTATGCAACGAAAGCAGTAATTATACATATAAAAAATCAACAACCAAGAGAAGTACAAAGCCAACGTTAAATATATGGGTTATTTCAGCAGCTCAAAATGCTGTTTCAATGGCTGTTAGGAAATTAGAATCAGAGAATATTGGCATTTTTAGCGCATTCCAGTCACTAATAGAATTTGGAAAGAAAGAGTATTTAAGCACATTCAATCGACAGGTATATTCTCTAATTTTATATAAGTGATCTTTCTGTTCGGACATATAACTATAGGCGTCTTTAAATACCGCTCTTTATTTAGCCCAGTCTTACCGTGATATATATTATAGAGAAATTTAAGTCTTTGAACTTTCCGTCGTCCACAAAGGGGTTCCCATCCCAAGGCCTGAAGAATTCCAGAAGACCTAGCTTATTCTAAAATCGTAATTTCCTGTAATACACCTAGCAGCCCTTTTTTGCACCCTCTCCAACTTTTCTTTCAGTACATTCGTGAAAGGGTCCCAAGAAACACAAGCATACTCTAAAATTGGGCGCACATTTGTAATATACAGGGTTTCCTTGAGTGTTTGCGGCGCGTCGTTGAAATTTCTTTGGAAAAAATGAATTAAGCGCGAAGCCTTGGCTGTGATTAGATCTACGTGACTGGTCCAATCTAGTGTTGCCGTGAATGTTACGCCGAGATACTTAACTTGATCTACCTTTTGTACTGCGCAGGAATTTAAGTAATAAGACCTGGATACTACCTTTTTTTGTTATTAAATTGCACATGAAAACATTTAGTTAGGTTCAAACTCATTTGCCACTGAGCACACCAAGACACAATCTTATCGAGGTCAGACTGAAGTACTGTGGTGTCATCAAAACACTTGACTGGGCAATACAAAACACAATCATCAGCATAAAGCCTCACTGTTGATTTCAAACCCAGTGGAAAATCATTGATAAAAATCAAAAACAGAAGCGGCCCCAGGACCGACCCCTGCGGCACCCCGGACAGTACATCAGCTGTTGATGAAGACACACCATTTATCACAACACATTGCTTGCGGCTGCTGAGATAATCCTTAATCCAGTCTATGAGGGTTTTAGGAATACCAAGAAACGACAACTTATGAAGCAAAAGACTGTGGGGGACGACATCAAAAGCTTTTTTAAGTCCAAAAATACAGCCTCCAATTGAATGCCCTGGTCGAATGATGAAGCGATGTCATGTACGAATTCGGTTAGCTGTGTAACACACGAAAGGCCTGCGCGAAAGCCATGTTGAGACGGAGTGTTCGTGCTACTAAAAACAAAACAGTCATAACCACGCCCCCCTCTTAGGTGTTACTTTAGGTGACCCCCCCCCCCCCCATAAATTGAGTGGCTGGATCCGCCTCTGCATGACACGCTGCTTTTACAGCCAGCCATTTGCCAAAAAAAAACAAAAAAAAAAACACACACGTTTGTCTTGCCCACCACCAGCCACGTATCACCACATGCAGCCGCGTCGCCATTGAACGACCCCCTGAATACAGTGTTCTACTACCTCTACAACACTGTACTCCGAATGGCCAATTCGCACATGCGACATATCATCACCTATTTCAGGAGGCGTCACGTGCGGCTGCGACCACGGTGGCTGCTGCTGCGCGACGAGCAGCGAGGATGAGGTCCAGTCGGCGGCGTGCTCCAGCGAGAGCAGTGGCAGCTGCTCGTCCTGCTCGCACGAAGACGCCTGCAAGGCGGACGCGTCCTCCACGCGTGACCAGTCGTACAGCGCCGGCAGCGTCTCCTCAACATCGGCATGCAGCGGCTGTCGTGAGCCTGAGATCGGCACTCTGCTGCGCACCAGTGAGCATCATGTGATATGCGAAAACGGTTTACTAACTCTGGTGGAAATGGGGTTTAACCCCATTTCCACCAGAGTTTACTATATTACACGATGAAGGAAGGAAGGAAGAAAAAAAAAAAACGTTTTTTTTTTTTTTCGATTCGCAAGGGCACGAAGCAAGAATGGCAGGGGTTTCGGAAGGCGTTATGCGCTCGATGGATGGGGCTCCAGGGTTCCACAGGCTTGACGATAGTCATGTCATACCAACTAGCCCAAACTGCCACACAACTGCCACTGGCAGTTGCTGCCTGCCTGGCGTATGTGACCCAGCTAGGAGAAATACTTGCTTTATCAGAGTAACTTATTCTGCTTGCTTTTTAATCACGAAACAGTTGAAGACTATAGGCACGTTCAGGTTTTTCCCTTTTGGGGGTGAAGCTTTGTCGCAGCACAAGTCGCCCAAACTATGTCAATGTACGGGGCTGACTTTGCGTCTCCCATGCCGAGTCACACCCTCCCTCCAGATTTTGTCCATGTGTAGGGATGACTTTGCCCCCCCCCCACATACACACACACATGGACACAATACAGAGGCGATTTACTCCGCTTTTCTCCTCTGAAAGGGCTAGAGTATCTGTATGTGCTACCTTTAGGTATACCTTAATTATAATTCTAGGGAGCCCCTCCCGCCTTCCCCCCGTCTTCCCCCTTGCTCGGCCTCCTCCATGTTCACGCCTATGGTTAACCACAGCTGCACTCGTTGCTGTGAAAGCAGAATCTTTAGCGAAATGAACAGCTTGCGAGGAGAGATACCGTGCATCCATGAATGCGGTGCACAGCGTTGCTGGAACAGGGAGTTGAACATTTTTAGTGGCTTCTAAAAATGAAAAAAAAATATATGCCTGGGAAATATCCTCGCGCTTTTAGAATCAGTCGCTGTATAGGTTTAACCGTTACAGACGACGAAAGATTTCCGCTGCGCCGTAAGAAAACTGAGAAAAATCGGTTGTCAGTCCCCTTGACAAATGAGAATTCACTCGAAATAATCGCATGTCGAAGTTTATATCACGTCGATGAACTGTACGAACGTGCACTATCGATCAGAAAGTGTTATGACGTTATAGTAGACACGGACGAGAAAGACTAAACAGGACCAGGGCGTGCTCTTTTAACCATGCGCTCCTCCCGTTGTATCTTTCGCATCCGTGTCTGCTAGCGTCACATGATACCTTGATGTATTCAACTAAGTATAGCCCGAAAGCCAACTTGGGCACGATATACGTTTATCTGAGGCTGTGGTACATAGCCTATAGTCTTCGTTTGTTTTCCTTTTGACTGCAGCCGCCTCTTTCTGCGAGACCTTGGCCCGGGCTCTCAGCGGTGAGCAGCACGCAACCAAGAGGTACCGAAACGTACGGAAGATCACCATGCATGCAGCTAACAAGAAATGATACTTTAGCTCTACTGCTCCGGCATCGCCGTGAAATAATACAATTTCAATAACAACCGATGTCGATTCTTTTCATTTGATCAATCAGGAAGACAACCTTGAGACTCCGCCGAATTTTTTACGCAATAGGCTACACCTACATTTTTAAAGGGGTCTTGAAATCCCTTCAAAACTTACTGCTTTGTTCTCCTCGTGAGCCGCTGTATTATTGAACCCTATTATTCACTCTGACCACCGGTTGTCTTTTAAAGTAGACGTTTCAAAACACTTACGCTCCGATTACCCCGTGTCATCTCTCCCTGTGCACCCGCTGGGGCAAGATGAGAAAATAAAATTGCTTGAAGTGTGCGACAAACCCTTGTAAACTCCTCTCCTTCTCGACGAATTCGAGATAATATTCCCGGCAATCAATTCGCGAAGCAATGAGCTCCGAAGCTGATATCATTCGATGAATACCAGGAAAAATGGCTCAGGACCTCCTAGTATATGCAACATTCTACGAGTCTGTACTGGTTTAAAATGTTCAGCTTCTATTTGAACAAGCGAGCTTCTGGTTCCGAAATAATATACCGAAGGATGGCCTATGGTTTGTATACATGCATCACTGAAATTTCCCCCTATAGTAATGGTGTACATGTGCGGTGGTGAATCGCGTGCCCTGGTTGGGTACATGTGTTCATTCTTGATTAATAAAGCACCCGGTCAATTCCAAGAGCTGGTGTCATTTCTTCACTTGCACTTCTCTCTGTTCGCGCTTGACATTTCAATGAAACGTAAACAAGTGAATGAATGAATCAACGATTGGATTAATGAATGAATGAATAATGAAATTTATTGAAACATGAAAGCTTGCTTCTGCTTGTTTGCTTAAACAGTGTGGAAAAAAATACATCTTAAATTAGGAACCAGCAATGCAGTGGCATATCCTGCTTTGTCACTGTCATTGGTCAATAAATCAAATCAAGGCACGGGCTCCTCTGGATGATACTCCGTTGGTTCCAGTTCTGTCTGCACTGAAACATTCTTCCCCTCTCGGTAGCCGACTTTCTTCAGCAGGACAGCGAACTATTCGCGAATCCTGACGATGATGTCTCACAACTGCTGATGTCTCTGCTCCTGGTGCTCAAACAAGTTCCTCCGGACGTTGTCGGTCGCATGGCAGCTGTAGTCCGCGGCGGCACCTTCAGCGCCACTACCGTCGTTGGCATCTGCACTGGTTCGACGTCGAAGACGGGCAGGTAGACCGCAGGACAACCGGGCCCTGGTTTTGATCAACTTCAGCCTGCGCCGTCGTTAAAGAAGCCGATCAACGCTTCAGATATAAAGCATGTCATATAGCTGAACCACACCACAAGTCAAAAGAGAGCAATGTAGGTGTAGGGGGTTTCCCCTTTGAGAGAGTAGCTGTGTTACCATGACTATTGTTCCCCACAGTGGGGCAGTGGTTGTGGCAACGCATGCATGCATGTACTCTTCCCAAAATAGCAACCCTTATTCATTGCTCCTTTTGGGAAGCGATCGTTGTGGCAACGGTATTACTTCCTCAAAGGAGCAGCCCCCCTCCCCCGTTGCTATTTTCATTGCCCCAATAAGTTCTCTCTTTGGAGAGCATGCAACGTCAAAGGGTCGAACTGTTGTTCTGCTAGCAGTCAGTCTCTTTCAGGATGAGGTTAGCCTCCTCCCCCATCCCACTCACGAAAAAAAAAACTTTACTTTCGCCAAGAATCCCTGATGGACAAACTGTTAATCTTTGCAGTTGCTGCAGTTACTCTCTGGGGAGCAACTGCTCATGCTTCCAGTTTCTCTCAAGTGTAAGACCTATCCCTAGCCTCCTTTTCAGACCCAGCAGGACAACTAAGCTGCGTTTTAAACATCTTTTTTTTATCAGTGCAGGCGTCGAAATTTAATTTAAGAGGAATTCAAGGAATGGTTATAAATCTTTCATTTTGTTTTCCCCGATTTCAGAATGAATTACAGCTGCCGACACTGTAAGCGATTTTGTGAGGCCTCAATTCTTCGAAAGTGCACCATGCAACTTGTATGTTATCATTCACTTTCGGCGTGGCTTCGAATGTTACGCGACACTTGCGGCCACAGTTTATAAGCAGTACTCGCGTTATTTTACCAATGACGCAATGTTTTTTTTTTTGTTAGCTACAACAGTGGTAGTGCGAAACCAATATTCATAGCGTTTATGGCAGGAAATTTGAAAAGAATCGCTTCTACCTTGACTGTCTCTCGTAAATATGCAGTAAAATTTCGATTAACAAAGTTATAAAATTGCACATTCATTTCGTTATATCAAAACTATGTTAGAATTAAATTCGGCCTTTTAAGTGGCACATAGGCACCATGGGCTGCTTTTTTTTTTTGCGAAGAAAGTGCTGGAAGAATGTTTGAATAATATGATAGAACAAATACCTAATTTAAGGCGACTGAAAATAGCGCTAAGAAACGGGGACACAAGAAGAGGACACACGGCACAGGCGCTAACACCCGGTCAATTCCAAGAGCGCCTGTGCCGTGTGTTTTCTTCTTGTGTCCCCGTTTCTTAGCGCTATTTTCAGTCGTCACAATGCACCAACAAGCCCAAATTTCGACAGTGTTGAACCTAATTTAAGTACTGCAAAAAAAAAAAACTGAAATTAATTTTCTTGATCTAGATATCCGGCGAACACGGCGTGATGCGGCACCACCCAAGCAGGAACCTACACAACGGCAGAACGCCACTCGCACCGTTCAGAAAAATCGGTTGCAACCCAACCATACGACGGCTGCACCAAGTGGCAGTTTGAATTTACCATCCCGATATTTCCTGAGGCACCGCTGAAGCCTCGTTTGTTTTGAATCACGGATAACACGCTTCGTTGCGTAGGTACATTAGGGTCTAAAGTACATGGCAGCAGTTTTCTTGCATGATTTTTGCTATAATGAATTTCATTATATCGCGGTTCAACTCACTCCCGTTACCACGAAGTTATATCTCTGATTAGGCGTCCATATCAAGGTGCAGTTGTAGTGCACTTGCCTCATTGCGTCGTCGACGTATCTCAGCGATCAGAGCCTCCATGCGGGTCGCGGAGTAGCGCTCTATTACGCACAGCTTTCGATGTTTCTGCTCCAGCTGAGCGACCTGCAAGGCAAACGTATGTAGTGAAGAGTGACAGCCAGCCAGGCAGACAGACAGGCAGACTATTAAAGAGACACTAATGTCAATTAACGATTTAAGTCGGAGTGAAAGCTTAATGTATGACAACGTTTAAACAACAGCTTTATCAACAATAGTGCCCTAGTTACCGAATTATTATTGTCACAACGCAGACACAGCAGAAGTCAGATATTAAAGAAGAGCTCACTCTAATTAAATTCAAGGCGCTCGTGAAGAGGACCTCGCAAGAACTTCGTCTTTCTTTCTTGCTGCGCGAGCTGTTCTCTGCAGGTTGAATGCGGCAATATAAATGCACGAGAACACATGCGCCACGAGTAGGACATTCGCAAAATGATTCTGACAACGTGAGAATTACCACCTGCCATTAATCACTAGTTATCAAACTAGCTGCACTAAATAAAGCACCCTCAGTCCATCAAGAGACGTAATAAAATGCTGCTTGTTCGTTTCAGTTCGATTCATGAAAAAAAAAAAAAAACAACGACTCGACGTTACTATGGAGAATGGCGCGAGTGGTTCAAAAGTTCAATTTCCGCCTTTTTAAATTTAGATTTACTCTATATGCTACCTTTAGGTAGCATGTAGAGTAACTGTATGTATCTACAGTAACTCTAGTTAAATTGGACAGGTCATGTCATCTGGCGGCACCAAGTTAAACCAAGCACGTCTGCCACCTCGGAGGCCATGACAGAAAATTGTTCAACGGCCGTCGTTGCCGTTCTTGCTCCCACTACTTGTCGGCAGCCGCGCAGTAAAGTCGGGAAACGTTGTGCACGGCAACAGTGACGTGGTACTTTCTGCCTGAGGAGGGTAGGTTGAAGTTCTACAACCAGATGCGTGCCACTAAAAGGTTATTTTATTTCAAAATATGCAATAGACCATATGTGAAATTGCTTTGTGCTCTGCTTGAGCAAATGAAAGGCGATCTTTGAAAAGAACGGGAAGGGCGGACCGAGCTAGAGAAGCGGGTAAAGGAGCTAATGGCGCTTTGCCCCGGGCCCGAGCGGTGTGAGACAGAAGGCGTGGGTAGCGGAGAAGGCGACAGGCGGGAAGGAACAGGCGAGAAGGGAGGTCAGGGGGCCGCAGTGTCTGGCCACAGCACGGAGGCTCCGAGAACATACAGCTCGGTGGCGCAGCAGTTTTCAAGTAGGGCAGAAACACAGGACAGACGGCAGAGAGAGAAACAGGTGAAGCAAACAGGGGTGCCATCACAAACAGGAAGCCAGCGATTGGAGCGTAGAAAGGTCCTAGTGGTGGGAGACTCTAACGTGGCCAGGGTTAGGGATGGCGTCTTCAAGACAGTGAAGGAAGATGGGAGAGTCAGGGTGGAGGCACAGTCAGGAAAGAGCATGGTGGATGCACTGGCCAAAGCTCAGGAGGTTGTAGAAAACAGCATGAAGGGAGAAAATCTAGTCCTTATTCATGCTGGGCTCAATGATGTGTTGAAGGGCAAGGATCAGAACCTTCAGAGACAGCTAGAGGATGAAATGCGTAAGCTCCAAGACACCTCTGGGAGTGTGCATTTGACCATATGCACAGTCCCAGAGGTCTGGGGGCAGCCTCGTGGGATTTAAAGGAGGGTAGTAGAGGCCAATTGTGTGATCAAGGGTTTGAGCCGGCAACTTGGATACAGCGTAATGGAAGTTAACCAAGACGTGTACGAGCCCGGCGCTCGCCCTTTTGCACAGGATGGCATTCACTACAGTAGTGCGACGGGCAGGAGGGTCGGTAACAGAATGTGTCGCCAAGCCATAGCTTTTTTAGGGGGACCGAGAGCCTTGAGGCCAACAGTGTAGCCAAAGACGGACCTAAAGGGGCACAAATATTCAAGCCACACGAAGTCGGTGGGAGAAGAAATCGACGTAAGCACAAGGGCCGAGCTAAGTCAGATGCAGGCTATGCAGGGTGGCAGGAATAGGTTAAAGTGGGAAGAGATAGAAGAGCAGTTGAGGCAGGAGGAGCTGATAGTATATGGAATTGTGGAGACACATCTTCAGGACCTGGAGCAACCACCCTGCAATCCGGACTACGTATGGGAATATTGCAATAGAACAGAAGGCAGCAAAAAGGGGGGTGGAATTGGTGCATTTATACATAAGAGCATGGGTTGGCAAAGAGTCAAGCAAGGATTCATGGAACATTTATGGTTAAGAGGGAAAGTGGCAGGGCAAATGACACTCCTTGGTTTCTTGTACTTGTGGACAGGAGCGAAGGCCAGAGAGGAAAACCAGGCAATGGTAGAGTGTATATCAAATGACATTCAGGAGTTAGGAGGAGAGTGCAAGATAATTATACTAGGAGATATGAATGCGCACATAGAAGATATAGATGGCTATACTGACTCAACAGGCAAAATGATCATGGATGTGTGTGAAAGGCATGATTTGATCATTTGCAACAGTACCGAGAAGTGTAAAGGGCAAATAACATGGGAGGTAGGAAGGCTGCAGTCAACGATAGATTACGCACTGATGTCACATAGGATGTGCGATAAGCTCAGGGGAATGCACATAGATGAAGGTGGGTCCAGAAGTCTGGGTAGTGATCACAAACATATCAAGCTAAGTTTTGGAAGAGCAGCGAAAGTGGGAAGGAGACAAGATGAGCAACTACAGAAAAATTTTCATTCAGAAAGGCAAATAGAAATTGCTACTAAACAAATTGAGAAAGTAATCACTGAGGACAATAAAACTGTGTGGACATACACTAATCTAATTAGACTGTTTGGGCTACAGCTTGCTAAGGCACGTAACAAGTCACCCCGTAAAAGAAGACACAAGCCCAAGAGTTGGTGGGAGGAGGAAGTTAAGAGAGCCATAGCAAAACGTCAGGAAGCCTCTAGGGAACACAGACATGCTAAGCAACGGGGTGAACCGACAGATGATGTTGAAAGAAAATGGGAAATCTTTCTAAGCTCTAGAAGGGAAGCATCCCTCCTGATCAATGAAAAGATTAGAAGAAAGGGTGCTCAGTGGTAGGCAGAAGTACATAAAAAGGACAGAAAAGCACCTGCAAAATTTTGGAACCATCTAAACTCCCTAAGAAATAAAACAAAACTAGAGCAGAGGTTTATAACTACAGCTCAAGGTGCTAGGCTAGAAGGGGACGAAGCTATTGAATATATAAGAACAAGGGTGACAGAAAAATTTCAACAAAGAAGTGCCTTATGCACCACAAAAGACAGGCATGAATCAAGTGGCACAATGGCTCCATTTTCACAACAAGAGTGGGAAAGGGCTGAGAAGAGGGTTCCAAGTAGTACATCAACAGGCCCAGATGGCATTCCAATTATGCTGATAAAGACATTGGGTCCGAAGTCTTAACAGACTTTGAGAGAGGCAGTGAGCAGAACAGTAATCCATGTTGAAGTCCCCTATGGATGGAAACTTAGCAGGATGAGCATAATCTATAAAGGAAAGGGGGACAAAGATGACATAAACAACTACCGTCCTATAACAGTGACATCAGTGGTATACAGGCTGGAGATGCAGATTATAAAGGAAAGACTGCAGGCATGGATATAGGATGAGGGGGTGCTAGGGGAACCGTAGAATGGGTTTCGGAAACACAGGAGGTTGGAAGACAATCTGTTCTCACTGACACAGTGCATCTAAATAGCAGAAAAGGAACTCAGGCCCCTGTGGCTAGCATTTTTGGATATTAAGGGAGCGTACGATAGCGTGGTTCAAGAGGACTTGTGGGGAATACTAGACACACTTGGTGTGGAAGATGGAGTCACTAATCTTTTAAAGGAAATCTATAAAAGTAACAAGGTAGTTATAAAGTGGGAAAAACAGGTATCCAAGCCCACAGAGGTGAAACGGGGACTTAGGCAGGGGTGTCCACTTTCACCCTTGTTATTCATGATGTACTTACAAGGATTTGAGGCCAAATTAGAGGGAAGTGGACTTGGCTTCAACCTCTCTTTAGTAAAACAAGGAAAATTCATTGATCAGGCACTACCAGCATTAATGTACACAGATGATAGAGTGCTAATGGCCGACAACAATGAAGATTTGAAGAGATTGATGGAAATCTGCGGTAATGAGGGAGATAGGTTAGATTTTAGATTCAGTAAGGAAAAATCAGCAGTCATGATTTTTAATGATAACGAAGATAGTGAGCTTAGAATACAGGATGTCACGCGAGAGATAACAGATAAATACAAATATCTGGGCATATGGATAGGCAATGGGACCGAGTACCTAAGGGAACACGAAATATACGTGACGACTAAAGGTAACAGGAATGCAGCAGTGATGAAAAATAGGGCACTGTGGAATTACAATAGGTATGATGTTGTGAGAGGAATATAGAAAGGGGCCAAGGTTCCTGGGCTGACGTTCGGCAATGCGGTCTTGTGCATGAGATCAGAAGTTCAAGCAAGATTAGAAATTAAGCAACGTGGAATAGGTAGGCTTGCTTTAGGAGCTCACGGGAATACACCAAATCAGGGAGTACAAGGTGATATGGGATGGACATCATTTGAGAGCAGGGAAGCTAGCAACAAGATAAAATTTGAGAAGCGATTGAGAGAAATGAGGGAGGAGTGTTGGGCTAGGAAGGTTTTCAGCTACTTGTACATGAAGAATGTCGATACAAAATGGAGGAAGCGAACCAGGAAATTGACTGGTAAATACTCAGAAAACAGCAGGTGGCCAAACAGAAGAGAACTATCAGTTAAGAAGAAAGTGAAGGAAACGGAGACTGACATGTGGAGAATTGGCATGATTAAGAAGTCCGCACTAGAGATATATCGAACTTTTAAGCAGGAAATTGCCAAGTAATATGATAATACTCGGGGTAGTAATCTACTGTTTGAGGCCAGGACGGGAGTACTGCAAACCAAGACATATCAGGCCAAATACGAAGGGGTAGACAGAGTATGCAGTGCGTCTGGAGAGTAAGAAGAAACTGCCGAACACTTGATTATGTTCTGTAAAGGGCTTCAGCCTATAGTTCAGGATGATGGCGCAGAGTATTTAGATAGATAGATAGATATTGTGAGCGCGACAAGCGAATGACTCTTTATTCTCTTTGTAATCATCATCACCTGTACATCTTCTTCATCTAAGAATATCATCACCGGTGTGATTGAGCTCGTGCCTGGCCAAATAAACCGGTTCCTCACAAGTGGTGGACTGTGCTTTTCGTTCCCTCAAGTCCTCTCGCCCGTTCTCGCTGGAGCTCCGCTCGGGTCGTCGCGTACAACCCCCTGCCATGGCGGCCCAAGAAAACCCTGGCCCATCCAACGTCGCCGTCCTACTGCAGCCACCGCCACCCGCTCCGCCCAACAACACTCGCCTGCGTGATCCACCTGTGTTTTCCGGTCTCCGAGGCGATGATGTCGAAGACTGGATCAAGAACTACGACCTCGTCAGCGATTTGAACAGGTGGGACAATCCACACAAGTTGCGCAGCGTCCCATTTTACTTGTCCGATGTTGCGAAAACTTGGTTCTGGAACCACCACCCAGATCTTCCCGACTGGGGCACTTTCGAGCAGCAAATTCGTCAGGTATTTGGTGCCCCTGCAGTTCGCACCGAGGCAGCAAAGAAGAAACTCGCTCAACGCACGCAGCTGCCGGGTGAATCTTACATTTCTTATATTGAGGATGTCCTTGCACTGTGCAAGCGCGTTAACACCGGCATGTCTCAAAACGACCAAATACGCCACATTATTAAAGGCATTAACACCTTTAAACCTTTTATTAACACCTTTTATTAAGGTGTTAATAAGGCATTAACACCTTTTATTAAAGGCATTAACACATAGATAGGAGGTAGTTTACAAGCCGAAAGATTCACAATAACCTCGCCGCACCCCGGAGACATAGAGCATTTCACTTGGCTGTGCCCGCAGTCTGACAGAAAAAGAACAGAGATGGTACGCAGGTTGCAGAGAGATTGTCACAAGCACGGACCATGGGAAGATGTCCTTTCTTCTAAGGACCTACGGTGACGAGGAGGAGCGTGCAACGGATCCTCATGACATTCCTGCGAGACACTGGGCTGAATGACATTTGGTAACCGACCCCTATGATTTAAGAGATGCTCAGGCGGAACAATTGCCGGCCATTTAGGCCAGGCCAACACCGCCCTTTGCGACATGACAACCGCCACCACCAGCAGCAGCAGCACGTACTACTAGACTATAATTACTCCATGTACGTACCATAAAGCGAAGTTCTTGTAAAAGCTTTCTCATGTTGACTTCTCCGGCGACGCCGTCGGCGTCCCGCGACTTCAATTCTTCCACCTCTTTCTCCGGTTCGGCGTTCTGTTTTTTCAGCTCGTCACACTTCGCCTCGACTGGCGCAAACTGTTGTTCATGCTCTGTGGCTTCTTCTTTGGCCTTGGACAACTCTTGCGTCTGCACATTGGTCTGGCGCTCTAGTTCTCGCAAGATGACCGGCTCCAGACGTGCGGCCTCCCCCAGAACTTGCTCGAGCTTCAGTTTGACGGCTCGTAAACTCGCTTCCAGTTGAAACTTTTTGCGTTCCAGCTTGTCGACTTCACGTTCATATTCGGCCTCCTTCAGTTGACGCAGCGCCAGCTCTTCGAAGGCGAAGTACAGCGCCGTTAGCGCTGCGTCGCAGCCAAAACGGTTGATTTCGTTCGACATACCTGTCACTCGTACTCTATGGGAGCTTGAGACCTTAGTTTTCTGTCAAACAAGCGCACGCAATAGACACAGCAGTCACCAGAGCGAAAATTATTTATAGACGCTCTGGTAATGAAAGTTCGGCGCCAATGCAACTCGGGGGCCACGCACAACGCAGTGACGTTGTGCTCGAACAACTGGCATAAAGCGCTAAACTGCCCTTCCGTTGTCGCAAATACGAGTTAAATCACACCGTACACTTCGCCGAGGTTCAACGTAATTCCAGTTTGTAAGCGACTCGCACATGTATCTTCAAAAAGCAAGAACGTGCGCGGACGAAACAAAAACCGAAAACCCGAAGCACCGTCTGTCTACCTGCCGTCTGCAATATTTGACGGCGACAATGATAGTGCAGAAATTGTAAAAAAAAAACGTTTTGAAGTTATATTGTACACCTCTTCTACTACAACAAGTATAAAATTACAAGTTTTTTAGGTAAATATATTCTTATTGTCAATTAACTGATAACATTGATGGTGTTTAGTAACATCACGTGATCAAAATTGTTGCGACACCTGGCGGCTGCTGTTATTTTACAGCGTGTTCGCGTGTGTACAAAAACGTGCTACAAAGAGAGAGTAAAGGTAGTACGTGACGACCACGACCTGCTATATAAACTTTTGACGCTGCGCCGTGCTCCCTAACGGACTGCAGAAATTAGGCGTCTTTTCTTTCCTCTAATCACCACCACCACCATATAAACTTCGTGGTGACGACCTTTTTTATGGCTGGCCGGGTTGACAAACTTTCCGGGCTGAGGCAAACTGGAAAATGAACAGTGCAGTTCTGCAGCAACATTTCAACGCGCCGTCTTTTCGCACATGGCGGCTGTTGCGTTGATCAATGCTTCGACGATCGCGAAGTATGTGATGAGCCTCCGCTCGTAGGATTTACTGTTCCTGTGTCCTTTCACAAGGTGTTGTTTACTCAAACTACCCTTCGTATCTGAGAGAATCTGTCAAGATGGTGAGTGCCGGCGTGTGGTGCCTTTTTTCGGTTTCCCGTCGCGACGGTTGCGATGTGGTGACACGACTGTTGTGTTTCCCTTCTCTTGCGATCTCTTTCAGCCGGGTGGCAAACGAAAGAAGTTCATCGACAAAAAGAACGCCGTTACCTTTCAACTGGTCCATCGGAGCCAGAAGGATCCCCTCCAGGCGGACGAAACAGCTCCCAAGCATGTCCTGCTTGAAAAACGGACCGGGCGACCCTTCACGGGAGACGACAGGCCGGGCCACGTGAGTTACGTTAAATAGTCGCGAAGTCGATCGTAACGAACGACTCATTCACGCTTGTAGGTGAACTTAAGCCGGCTTCCGTGCATGCTAAAGTCGGTGTGTTCCTTGTGAAGCGCACGCAGGCCCTTCCGTTTCCCGCAGAAGGCTTTTTATGAATACCACTCGCATATTTATCGTTCGCTTGTTGCACGAGTTTAGTTACAGTGTGGGTCACTGCACCAGCTTTTCTTGCTAATTCTGGATTTGTTCTTGAACGTGCGATTGGCGTAGACGACGAATAGAGTTGTTGATTGATTGATATGTGGGCTTTAAGGTCCCAAAACCACCATATGATTATGAGAGACGCCGTAGTGGGGGGCTCCGGAAATTTCGACCACCTTGGGTTTCTTTAACGTGCACCCAAATCTGGGAACACGGGCCTACAGCATTTCCGCCTGCATCGAAAATGCAGCCGCCGCAGTCTGGATTCGATCCCGCGACCTGCAGGTTAGCAGCTGAGTACCTTAGCAAGTAAACCACCGCGGCGGGACAACCAGTACATTTGTTTGAACAGCAGGATTGGACACTATTCATGGAAGGCTGTGTTGGTAGCAGATTTGGTCACATGTGTTTAGTTTTGTTTAATTGAGAATCTGGTGTGACCTAATGTTGACCCTGAGGAAATTGTGAGCACAAGTAAAAACAAATTAGCATGCTCGCTTGAGAATCTTAAGTCATGAATTTTAAATGCATTGTAAAACTTGCAGGTCCCAGTTTCTGACGAGAAGAGGAAAGAAGAACAGCGTAAATACGGTATATACTTTGACGACGACTACAACTACCTGCGACACCTCAAGGACGTCAACACTGTGGCAGACTGGGAGCCGGTCATCCATAGGGTGCGCATCCCGGCTGGACAGAGCGGTGACGAAAAGGTGAACAGACTCGTGCTCGAAAAGAAATGCTTGTATCAGACCTCTGTATTATTACTGGTTTGTAGGATGTGACAGTACACACGTTACGTAATTACACAACGCTTGCATGCTACAGTCTAGAGAGAGCTGTCATCAAAGAGACTACATTTTAAATTAATGCTTGACAGGTAACACAATTTAGACACCTCAAGTAGTCAGCAGTCAAGGAAAAAGTTAGAACTGTAGTTTTTACCTCAACTATTGTTTTTGTTGCCTATTTCGGTGCTAGTTGATTGCAGTAAGAGTGCATAATAGGGCTGACTTGTGGACATTTAGACCAGAAAGAACGCAAACAAAGAACCTGATGCCAAACCAGTACTATGTGCTAATGCTTTGTTATATGGCCTCGATTGTTATCTATTCTATTTGCATTGTCTTCCTTTCATTTAACCTGAAAGTTTAAAATGTTGACTGCCATGCTCTTTGAAGGAAAGAACTGTTCATGCCTATGTATTCTCAGTGGATTTTAAAATGATTGAAAAATTGTGGCACTCACTATTTGCTTTTCTAGTTGGTGAAAAAATAAATTTGTACTCTGCGACAACAGTGGAGGGAAGGCTATGGAGGCAGGGCTTCTGCACATTCGTGTTGCACCGCAATTTTTACGGCAGCTTGCAGCTGATTTCAGTTTTACTCACTCGCGTACTCGGAAAGTGTGAATGGAAAAGAACTCTTCAATTGTAAGGTGTACACTTTAATGTCATGCTACGAGTACATTTTTCTTGGAGAACTAAACGCGTTTACGGCTAAACACCGACCCAGTACGTCTTGGACATCACGTTTACTTCGGAAGCTGGGCATGCTGAAAAGTGGTGCTGTCTGAGAAAAGGAAGACATTCTTGCCAAGTGAACAATAACTGTATTTTACCTATGACTTCCTGCAGCCCTCTGAGTCTCATTACAAATAAAGCAGCATTTATCTCAGCAAGGCAAATGAGAATTATCAGTAAACGAGAACTTCGGTTCTGTAGCTTCCACAGTGCTATAAAGAAAAGTTGTTGCAGAGTATAGTCATTGTTTCTCGCCGCTGTCATCAGCTAGCCACATGTTCGGCTGAGTGCTTCGGCTTGTGTAGCATCACAAGCATCATTTTTTTCTTGCGTAAAGATGGCTTTCGAGGAAATCGCTAGGTACACACTGATATTCAGCTTGGTTGCATGAAATTAATTCTGCCATATGCATATTTTTCTGTAGTCATTATTAAAACAATGTTGCATTAACGTTTTCATGCTGTGTCTTGTCGTATCGACTTCTAGGCCAAGAAGGAGATCAGACTACCTTCATCAGTCTTTCAATCAACCATTGAAGAGAAGGAAGGTCTATTGAACAAAGCAGTGCCCCAAGTTGGTAAGTCTTTTGTTTTGTCTTGTTTATCTAGTTGTGGATACTGTCATAACGTGAGCTCATAGTGGAGTGGTGAATCTTAATAAGCACAGTGAAAAGAAAGGCATACATGAGAACCAAGTTGTGTTTTATACTTATGCACAGACAGGTTCACAGTTAAAGAAAACACTTTCGTGCTTATCATGTACAAATTTGGCTCTCTGGTAAAAGAATAGCGGCTTAGTTGTGCGTAAAACTACTGCTGGTTGACTGTTCCGACTCCTTTTGATAGAATAGCGGTGTGCACAAACAATGCTTATTCGTCTACTTGCAGTTATGACAGGTGCTCATCAGAGTGTTCCCTTTAACAGTGGACGGTATTGTACGCACTAATGCAAGTGACTCACAAAAGATGACAGGCCTCGCCTTACCGCTTGTCAGTAAACTTATTCCAAACTCTTGGTTTGACTCAGGAGGTGCGGTAGTTCAAGAATTTTATTTTATTTTTGCATAATCTGTTCGGTTTGTAACCATTTTTGAAATGTCAGTATTGGGATGCCCATTCAATGCAACACCTTGTCAAAACATTTGCAGGCTTTGTACTTCTCAGCCACTTTACGTGTTCCAATATTTTGCAGGACCAAGGCCAGACTGGGACCCAGACGTTGTGGCAGCCTTGGATGACGATTTTGATTTTGAAGATGATGAAAATATCCTGGAAGATGATTTCATACAGCTTGCCGAAGGACCCGTAGATGCTACCGACGTTGAGTGAGTAAACAAGAGACAGTGACAATAATGATTGGTGGGTTTGCGCATATTGGCACGAACACAGGATAGGGCTAAGCATTGTTAAGTAAAGGTCGTAGTCTCGATTAATCTTTTTGGGGTTGCCATTATGTGACCTGCTATCAGTTCAACATCTTGCACTGCTGGAAGCATTTTGCCTACTGACTTGGCCAGTCGGCATACTCAGAAAGTGATACCGAGGTTGACATTATGAGGCATGGACAAGAGGAAACAAATACCAACGGGCTCATTTTTTTTTTTTTAGACGCAATCAGGTGAAGCCAATAGACAATGAGACTAGGGAAACAATACTTAAACCTCATTATATAACGAAGTTGCATCTTACATGAAAACAAGCTTGTTATGTCCGAAAGTCATTTAAGGATATATTTCTAACACTATATCTATTGTAAGACTATTTTTAACCTTGATATTACCGATAACTCCTTACACCTGAGTTGATTATATTGAGGTTTGAGTATATACAGAAGTTGCCTGTGTTCATAATTGAAAAAGCTTGCCTCAGGCTCTGTGTGCCTGAGCGTCTACCAACTGATCTAGAGTGGTTGCTGTTACCTGTCCACATTTTTAATCTTGTATCTGGACTAGATTTGACTGTGGAAGCCTTGCGATAGCCCGTGTTGCTTACAGCCATTGCGTCAGACTTTTTTTTTTTTTTTCCAAGAAACAATTAAACGTAAGGCTTACAAGGAGGAAAGTAAAAACTTTTCGCTAAGTTTAGAATTCTCGCTCTCAACTTTTACTGTATTATTTATTTTTTGTTCTCATCACAGTGGCGAAGAGAGTGACAGTTGTGATGACGAGGACGATGATTTTGAAACAGATGAAGGCAGTGAAGAGCGCTTCTCTTTCGCTGAAGAAGAGACACGGTCAAGGTTTACGAGCTACTCAATGTCTTCGTCCGTGATACGAAGAACCGAAGGCCTCAAGACTCTCGACGAACGATTTGAAGAGGTTCGAGAAGTCATCTTTTGTTGTGCTACAAGTTCCTCGTCTTACTGCCTTGATATGTGGCTTGAAATATTTTTTTTTTGTCAGTGGGAAAAGTTTTTACACTTACGACAGTATTGATGTGCATTGCGGTTGCCTGGCCACCATTTGATCGCACTCACTATCGGCTTCAGTGTAGCTCGCTGATCTGTAATTACTGCATTTGCAAGGGATGCATGCATCATAAGCAGAGCCCCAATAGTGTGAGCTGTTTCTTAGGTACAAAGCACACGTCACTGTGGTTGCTACAAAAGCAGGGCCTTGGTGGTTATTGCTGCCTGCACGACATATGGACCGAACGAAAAGACACTAGAGCTTGCGCTGGCTATAAACATGTTTTTACCGGACATGGCTTGCTAAAGTTAAGACACCTGTTGCTTGTTAAAGGCCAGAACTTTTCTCAATACACTGGTGAAAGTGGAAAGACTGTGAAATATAGGGACAGCACGGAGTATTCTTTTCGTGATTTGAATGTAACTGTATTTTTTAACCGCTGTTTGTAAGTCGCAAAAATTGGCATGTTGTGTCACCTTTCTGAGTGCAAAGACATTGTCAGAGGGGCTCAACTGTGACGCCATTGTTGCGAGGCTATCCACATTGTTGTGGTGAGATCGTGGGTCAACAAACTCACTGATGACTCATTCAGACTCAGATTGGGCTGCGAGTCTGGGTGACTCCAGGTGAGTGATACTTTGGCAAGTTTAAATCCGAGTCAGTCCGCTTGAGAAAAATTTGAGCGGGTGAGCATGAGTGAGACCGGTTGAGGAAAATATTAGCGGGTCTGAGTGAGCTCCAACTTTTATTGCCAACCTATGGGTGAGATCATGAAATAGATTTCTCCAGGCCACTCATAGATGTTTTAACAGACAGTATCGGCAAACTTAAAGGCTGTGTGAACTGCAGAGGTGAAGAGCTGTTTGCTTGATGTGTTTTGACATGATTGCAGTGAGCTAGTACTTCGAATTTGAATTGCCCTTTCTTCTCTGCTTCAGATGTTCAAGCAGTACGACGACCTGGAAGTTGGAGCTCTGGACGGTGAGGAGATAGAAGGATACGTACAACCCGACAGCGAGATAATGAAGGCTCTAGTGGAGGACTTCCAACTAATGAAACAACTTCCGTTAGTACACCTTTGTTTCAGTGCTTTACAGCCTAAACGATCACAAATTTGGTATTTTCTAGGCAATTTCTTTGGTTTAACCTCTAAAATATTTTTTTTTCAAAAATGAATTTCTCTATGGAGAACCAATGAGTGTGCGAGCATTTATTTATAATTAGGTGTGGCATGCTTTTGTTGCATTGTTATTTAGTAGGTCAGTATAATGAACAGTTGGTGGTGTGATTACTCAAGTATGGTAGGTTTCTTAAGAACTAAATCATTTCATTAAAATTAATTAATGTTGTGCATATTATTTTGTTTTCGTTGTAAGTTCATATGATAGTTTGTACATTCCAGTTTATATCACTAGACATTTTTCTGCCACTTTTAGGTCTGAAAATGTCTTTGCTATGCTTTCTCGGACTGCTTATGATACTGGTACACTTGAATTTGCCCTGTATGGTACTTTTCGCGTAAAATGTAGGCAAACGTCTTGATGTGTTGCCTTGCCAATTCCCATAATCCCTGCCACATGAAATTACAGCCACAAAAAATTCACACACTTGTATTTTTTATGCATTTTTTTATGTTCTTAATGCAATTCTTTATTTCTTAAATATGCAGTGTTGTCGTATGTAGCCTTACTGCTTTGTCTCCTTAGAAAATTTTGTCCCACGTCCTGACATTGTAATAGTCTCTGCAACATATTGGTCGGCATTTGGATGCATATTCGAAGTGAAAATTGAAAATATTGAGGCTGTATTCTCCGGCTTTCACCCTACTAGTAAGTGGCAACTTTTTATCTGAAAAAGTTGTGCTAGTGTGGAAAAAGTGCACGATAAAGGTTAGGCAGCTCTGAATATGTCAATCAGAATAGTACTTGAAATTTTTCGGCGAAGTTTAAAATGTCTGTTTCACCTTAATGTTTTTGTTGTTACCATTCAACGTGTTACCATGAAATTTGTGAAAAATAGTGTTTTGAAGAAATTTTGCGCTTCTTTAACGTTTATCATTGTAATTGTTTTTCATGTGGAATTTTCTCTCCTGGCTTTTTCTGTAGGACGCTCAAAGAGGTAACTTTAGATAAAGGGAGTGCTAGGAGTGCTGTGACCATGGCTGCCATCGAAGAGGAAGATGATGAAATGGTGGACTTGCAAATCGACACCGCCGCACCCAAGGAACGCTGGGACTGCGAGTCTATCATAAGTATGTTTTAGTATTGCATTTCCTCGGTATTCTGTGTCGCATCAGACTGCTCGCAATGGTTCACACTTATAAATTTTACCCTCCAAACTTAGGTACCTATTCGAACCTCTACAATCACCCGAAACTCATCACAGAGCCAAAAAAGGTAAGTGAGATGTTTAACATTTAAAATAAAGTTGTTTTATTGGCTGGATTGTTAAAGAAAAAGAAATCCGTGCATGAGAAAAGATGGTACAGTGATTGTGCACTTGTTGCTGTGTTCTTTATGTATGGAAGCTACAACATTAACCCTAGCCGAAAGTAAACTGAGAAAAATACTTTGATAATTTAACTTCAGCCAAAGTAATGCAAAACATGTATAAGCCTGACGTTTCGGAACCAGACCAGTTCTTCCTTGCTTGGGGAGAGGAGTGTTACTACAAGATGCTGCTGAAAAACATGGCAGCAGTACCCCCTGAGGAAGGAACTGGGCTGGTTCGGACACAGACGTTAAACAAACTTTATGTTGATTTGATTGGAGTAAAATTTAAGAGATTTTTTTTGGTGATGTATTTGCAACCCCATTTTCTCAATAGGGGGATGGCTCAATATTTTCATGAGACTAATAACACCAGCAAGAGACACAAATACCTGGATGAACACCCGATAAAAGCTGGCATTTGTGTCTTGTGTTCATGCTGTTAGTCTAACAAAGTTATAGATCATTGACTAAGCCTGCCAACAGTTGTTACTAAAGTTTGTTATCTTTGTTTTTACCCTTTACACCTTTTCACAGGAAAAAGTAAAGGTGTCGGCCAGAACGGGCATTCCCATTATAGAAAAGGGTGGCTTGAGCCGTCAGGGGCTCAGGCAGTTGGACCGCAAATTTGAAGGTGATTCGGATGAAGAAACGCGGTCGCGAATGTCGGTGGCATCTAGCATCCGCCCGAAGGATGAGACGCCGGAACAGCGCAAGGAGCGAAAGGCCGCCGTGCGTGCTATGCGACGCGAACGCAGGGCCGAAAAGAAGGCCAACTCGGAAGCCTTCAAGGCCGAAAAGTTGAGACAGGAGAAGGCAATGGCCAACGTTCGCCAGAACCTCAATTCTATGCGGCTTTATTAAACTGTCAAATAGAGACCTATAATTTTTGTACAGAAAAAAGCAGCTTTGCTCATGTGCAAGTCTCGTAATAAAACTCCTTTTTTTTCAGCCTCTGCACTTGTCAATGTGTTGGTGCCTAATGCTACAGTGTGGCCATTACACACTGCACCGAACTATTTGGAGCATGTGGTAGTTTTTCCATTGCTGTATGACGACCTCCAGGTCCCATGTCTGTGGTCTGCTTCGTCATAGGCGCGTGCATGGGGGTGGGCAGGGGAGCTTATTGCCATAATTTGGAGGAGTGATGCCCTCTAAGGGCAAATCGGGGCACGCCCATGTACTTCATGCATCTTAGCAAGGTTAAGAGATAATTGCATTGTTACTACTGGTAGAAGGGTACTGGAATAATGAAGAGCTTTGCTCAGTCACTCTGCAATGCACTAGATAAACTGGACAACCAGACTCTTTCGGAAGAAAGAATCCTGCGCTAACGACAGGACTTTATGTTGCAGAAGAAGGTTGTGAAGGCGTTCCTGCGCTTCTTGCGTTGAACCGGCCTGTCCAAATGACTGTGATCGGAACTCCCTGAATATGTGCGCATGTAAATTTTTTAAAATTTATTTTTACTTCTCTATCCTCTTTCCGACCCTTTTTCTTACCCCTGTACAGGGTAGCAAACCAGTTCTTCTAGGTGAACCTTCCTGTTTCTTCCTTTTATTTCTTTCTCTCTCTCTTGCTCAGTCTTTAATATAAAGAAATGGCTTATTCAAAAAGATAATACTGTGAATATATAAATATCTTCATGCAAAGTGGTTTCAGTGCCCTTGAATGTACAATCCTGCCACTGTTGAAGGGAACGCACCGTTTGGTTTCGAAAGACATTGTGTGAAGGCTTATGTCATGTGGAAAGGTACGTCAACATCTAATGTGACATGGGGAGGTCGGGTATTTCACAGATTGGGGGCACAAACATTGTTTATAGATGCATTTAATGATGTATGCCTGTTCACTTGAACAGGGGACTAGACTACCCGTACGTACACATATCACGCGTGAACAAAAAGTGAATGATAACGGCCACATTTATTTGGCAGCTTGCTTAAAAAACCCCCCGAAAACGAAACAATGAAAGCGCCTGTAGCTTCACAGGGCCGATGCGTCGGGAACATCCAGCGCGGTCTGCAGCGCAACGTCGGTAGCAGTGCCGCAGCCGACCGCGCGTTTCAGCGATTCCAGATCGCGTTGACAAGCCGCCGCATCGCTTTCCAGCTTCTCCATCAGGCTCTTGTGCCAACGGTCAGGCGCCGGACCCGTGTGACCAGCTTCGGCGCCTGCCTGTTGAACCTCGTCGGCCGACGAAGTCGCCGATTCCAGAGCCTTCTTCAACGACGCGCACTCGGACGCGAGTCTGGACTCTCGTTTGACGCACTCGCGCCGCTCCCTCTCCAACGCGACGCGACGCCGAAGTACGTCGAACAGAGACGCCTGCACGGCGTCCAGCAGGGCGACCAGCTTTCTGAACTCGTCGAGCACGGGACGGCACGCCATTGTCAAGTCATGCAACTGAGCGCTGCGTTCACGCAGGACCTCTTCCAAGTGTCCTTTCTGGTCGCGCAGGTCCTTCACTTTGCCCTCGAGCGTCAGCTTTTCAGTTTCCAGGCTTCTCGCCCGACCGACGGCGGCCGAGAGGTTGCATTTGACGCGACCGATGTGCCGCGTTAACGCATCTTTTTCGGCCAACATGGGTCGACGACGCTGCTCGGCCTCTTGTCTCAGCACGGAGTGGCGTTCGGACATTTGCCATTCGGTGACGCGAAGCCGGTGCTTTTCGACGTCTATGCACTCGCGCAGGTGCGCTATGTCCCGCCGTAGCTCGTCGATTCGAGTGCGGTGCATTGCCACGTTCGAGCGCCGAACGCAAAGCTCGTCCAGTGCTCTCACGATGGCGATTTCGGCGGCAACGGGGTCGAAATACGCAGCCGAGTTGCTGGCCATTGCTCTTGCTGGAGTACTTTCAATTTGGCGCCGTGTTGGCGCTCTCGGAGCTGCAATGACGATGACGGAGTCCCGGGATGATTGAGAGCGATTGCGCGTACGAGCTAGAGTTTGTGAGAACACATTCGAGGAATGTACACCAGAATTACGACTAAAGATAGCCTGAAAGAACGCTTTGTGCAGGATATGCGACAGACCTGTGGTGTGCTGCCTTTGCCTTCAGCTACGGAATGTCGTCTGCTCTGGGGGCGAGCCGCACGCCAAGCCGTAAACCAAGCCAAGTGAAAAAAGCGAAACCGAAACAGCTACGCCCATCCAACGCCTCCTAGATTTCCCGTGCCTGCCGGATTATCGGCGGTCACTTGGGAAGCGGCGGTCGTCGGAACTACGGTGATGGCGCCACTCAAGTAGGAGCGTCTTCAAATGGGTTTTTACGTTTTTGGAGCTTATTTGCAACAAAAATAACGCTAGAATGTTAAAAAAACTTAATTATAATTAATACTACGTAAGTGACGCCGTCATTCAGCAAGCAACTTTTTTAATACAAGGCATACTTTGAAGTTAGTAGCAAACGCCAAAATTGCTAATCTCAAAGGCCAAGTACAAAGACCCTTACTCCTACGTAGGCAGCGCCGTCATAAATGACCAGCGTTTCGCGCTTATCCGGCAGGCACAAGAAATCTAGGAGGCGTTGGCCCATCACACGAAGCTATTTAAAGAAGTAGCATAATGAACACATACTGAGCACTACATAGGCCGCGGCTTCGATAAATAATGCAGACGACAAACAACACGCAGATGTTGCAAACGCACGGCGCTAGCTTGTCCAAAGCTTCGTATTAGTCACGGAGAAAATTGTTTCTTTCCTCCATGGTATGAACGGTCGCTGCCACTTGAGAGCTGCGCGCCATCAGAGAGGGTGACGCCGCGATAAAAGGCCTCGCGCTGCAACGGTTACGCGTGGTCAAGCCTTCACCAAACAAAATAATTTGACTGCATAGTTCGACTCGGATATTTGAAGATTTTAACGAACTGCACGCCTCCCAAGCTTGTCACGGTCAGGGTATGTCTCCATTTAGAGTAAACGTGATATATGTGCCGTTTTAACTCCTCGTTGGGAAGCGGGGAATGGTCCTACGCAGGGTCTTAAAAGTCAAGGACGCAACAATTTTTATTTAAAGATCCCTAAACCACCAGAGGCATAAATAAATGAAACGCCAGCTTTAAATGCATATAACTTTTATTATACATATATATTTTTACAGATTTCAGACTAAATACATCTTCAGAAACGTGTATCCGCGTTTTTTTTTATTTACATGAAAACTGCAACCTCGAAGTAGCAGCAACAAGTCGATTGCTTTAGGCGTGAATGGCAGGCTTATGAGAAAACAGGCAAACAAAACGGCCAACTGCATATACATTTGTTCTGAGTGAATATCAGTGATGGTCTAGATCAAATATAGCTGCAGCATATAAACAAAGTAGGGTCTGCCACAAACAGCAATGTGTTTTAGAACAAGATGCAAAGTTCAGCATGAGCAATGAAAACAGCATCAGGAAATTTTTTTCTGGGTTTACAGTACACAGCAAAAACAAAAGCGGTAATAGAACGTAAAGCACACTTGTTGCAAAAAATGTGTAGATCGTTACGCTATGAAGATCAAGTGGCGTTATCATTGCATCCCATGTGGGTAAAAAACAAGAATTGACACAATATAACGACAGAGTTCTCTTGTAAACGTAAAATTAATGCGCAAGGAGTGCATGGATGCATGACAGGAAAAGGAAAGACTTGTAGAGGAATAGGAAGCAAGATATTGATTGATTGCTCCGGACTACCTCTTATGTCTTCGACTTATTGTTGTGCTACCACACACTCACTTCGTTTTCAGTTAGTTTCATTTGACACATATGACCAAGTTTTCAGACCCATAGACTGCTGCTGACATCTGTGTTCAGCTAAGGGGGGAAGGAGAAGAGTCAACATAAGTCGTCTTCTCCTGGTACTGTGCCCTGTTCATTTACAAACATGCAACTTGTATGTTAAAAACAGCACTTTTTTTTACAGATTAGTATAAGTTGAAGCAAAGCGCTAACAATGAACAGTACTGTACAGCGAGACTGTACTGTTGCTCACGTCTCATTACGTAGGCGTGTGATGCGAGATTAACTAATGCTTTTGTGTATAGAGAGAGGCAAAAAATTAAAATGCTTCGAACATTCAGCTTTCAGCTGAGAAGCTCGTTTCGTGTCCTGGCTAGTGTCGACTTTTGCGGACGACCAGCCAGGCAGTGGCGCTGACCTTCCTGTCCTCGTCTCAACCACTGTAGTGGGGATGGCATGTTAAATGTGGCACGCTTCTGGCTTTCACACTGGAGAGGCGATAACGAAGTGAACAGAACTGCCACTGTGGATAAAACCAAAGATACGGCTGAGCCAAGTGGATAAATCCGAATGTCAAAGACGATAAAAGATAACAATGGCACATTCGACTGGTTCCTGTAGACTATTTTACCGAAGAGATGTGGACGCTGCCATATTCGGCTGTTAAGTCGATGTTTTCTGGTTTTTGTATATTGCGATGTGAACAATGAGGCCATGGAACATTGTACGCACAAACTCCACTGTTTTCATGTGTACGCGTCTATTGTAGCTGTTTGTTTCGTAGTTAAAGATGCAAAATACTACAGTTAACAGCTCAACATGACAGCACTGAAATCGCCCAGTAAATTGTCTATACCATGCTTTGTCTTGGTTTGTAACCACGCGCACACCTCCCCCAGGCTGAAACCAGAGAAAGCCCGCCCCATTGGAATGTTCACTAGTTCCCAAACGAATTGGATAATTCATGGGTTTAAAATGCTGCTGGATCGTCGTCGTGCTCTAGGCTGGGAACACTTCTCAACCCTCTGACAGAACCAGGTGAACATGTTATGAGTGCTTAATTTCAACGGGCCGAATCTGAAGCCTGAGAATAACACAAAAACAGCCAGTTGAATGTACCACAAATATTGCACCACGCTTGGCAACTCATAAATAGCATTTCCCTGCTAGATAACTGTTTTGCTAGAACTGGAAGACTTTCCCATCCTCACAAGAGGCGTAGTATGGATCTTACATCTTTCGCTGAAACGACATTTGAACCCAGTATAGATGATGCTAATAGTACGATCTGGCGATACATCGGCTAGCTCTATTCAGTTCATATCTTATGGTGAGAAAACGTACTGGATAGATTCTATGGTAGTTTGCTGCAATCCTCAGCCTACAGAGACATTTGTGGTGTTATTAGAAACAATATGCACTTACAGTTCGCTGCACGATTTGTAATACATTGCTTCAGCACTGAAACACCAGGTGCTTGCTTGCTACATTTTAAGACGCTGTAGAAAAAGCTAGCAATACATATTCTACAACAACGTAAAGGCATCTCTTTTTCAGAAAGCCCTACGGGCTACACAACTGTGGAACCCAAACCACACTCTAGCGTTTAATGCAACGACGGAGCTCGATGCAGATGAAATGATTCGCAGGAATGATACATGCAGTATATAATCAAGAATTGGGAAGCTTTTGAACAATGCTCTGCAGCTTCAACTGGCAGAAAGTTGAAAGCCGTCCAAATGTTGCAGTGAAAATACTAAAGCGGGCTGCTCCTTGTCATGGAGTGTTACATTCACTTGCAACTCAGTCACGTGAGAAATAAAATCACAAAGGCAGAAGACTATCGGCTCCGAGCCTTGTCTCCTTAATGTGTCGTGCTAACAATACCCTCAAACTTTAAAAATGAGCCTATATTTTTTACAGTACTTGAATGCAGGCTGCCAGCACCAATGAGAAACAGCGAGCCTAAGACAGACAGTTGGCCTTACTGATAACATGCGGCAACAAATTTTGGACATCTTTGCCTTGGTTGTGTGTTTGAAGTGGCCCTGCAACATTTTTCTGACCGACTCTCGAAGCACTTGAGTGTGAATAGTTTTGGAATACTGAGATGAATGTGGCAGGAAATATAAAAACTGGTGTGTGGAAATGGAAGCTATCAGTCTGCAGAGTATAAAACCTGAAAGGACAACAATGTTTACTTTCGCGTTTGACCCTCAGTGACGTCGCTGGATACCTTCAATCACTGCGCAAAGTTTACAGAGATATAGCATGCACTCAAACCTCATTATAACAAATTTACATCGTACACAAAAATAACTGTTATATATCTGAAAATTTGTCATAAAGGTATATTCCTAATACTACAGCTATTGCAAAACCATTCGTTATTTACTAAGTTATAAGCAATATTTTGTTAGATTCGGGTTTGGTATAATGAGGTTTGAATGTAGAAGGTCTTGTCTTGTAGTAGACATTGCTTAGCATGCAGTGTCTAGTTTTCAAAATGTTATGACTAAAAAAAGTTCTTTTGCACCTGATAAAGTGTAAAGATCAACATTATATATTCCAGTGCGCAATAGTGTGCTCTGGCTGAAGGCATACAAAGAGCATCTACAGCACGAGCGAGTGTCCCCTCCGATTTCAAGAAATGCCGTTGTGTGTCGCTGCAGCCGAAATTTAAGGTAGATTATCCATTTAATTAAAATGATAAACACTTTCTTTTTGCCATTTCTATTTACAAATGTGATCACTGCATTCCACAGTGCTAGAAGTGATGAAAATGTGCTTAATTTATGTCGCAGGCCCCTTTAAAGTTTTTTAGAGCGACTAACAAACTACTGTTTAGAAACTTTTTTCATTAATTTCACAGCAATTGGTTCAATAGATGATGGTACTGAAATTAAGGTAAGGGTTTTTTTTTTTTTACTTTTAAACACAAGTCTAATACTTGAGTGAGGCATCATAGAGAGTATTGTTTCTTGATTAGTCACTTCTTAGTAAAAGTTCTCACAACTTGCTCATTTTTGTTCCTGTCTCATTTAAAATAGAACACAGTCAAATCTTACCGATAAAAACATTAATTAGGCCTTTGAGAGTGGGTTCGATATTTGTAGTGTCACAGCAAGGAACTTCAGAATGCTGTTGCCACCCATTGATCACTTTTACATCCTTTATGCTAGCTAACTAAATCTAACATTAGTGCAACGGTGATTTTTCTCGTTAGTCTAAAAGTTTATAAATACAGCTGAATTTATACACTGCTTTAGCGTTCCTTTAGCAGTGACAAATGTACGACAAGCCACTGTGAACTGCTGAACGTAAAAGGATGTATCACTTAAGCTGCCCTGTCCACATTTTGCGCTACTGTTCCTAATACACCAGAAAAAAAAAAGTGCCTTCAATCGAAAGGAAAAATTTTGTAATCACGCGTCTGAAGGAGATGTAAAATCTACTTTCGTTATGCTTGGAAATGGAGACGCAGTGATACGCCACTTGAGAAAATATTTCGAATGAATTACTATTCGACTCACTAGACATCCAGTACAACATCTCTAAGCCTGCAGCAATCTTGTGAATTTAATGTCCTGAACCTTTGTGTGAATGATTCGCTTCCAGACGTCCTTCACGTTAGTTTGAGGGCTTCACTCTATGCTTAACTAAGTCTTCGGGCTTGAGTTGAAACGATCACGAGAAAATGCGCTGTAAGCTGCGTCTTTCTGCTATTTTTCCGGTGCTGTGAGCGCAGCAGAAACGACAACTCTCCGGCATTCGCACCACCAGAGAGTGAGTGTTCATTTATCTTTCCAACAGCACCACCGCACATCATTGGCACGACAAACAAACCTGTTCCGCAACAGACACAACTTATGTTACAGTTAATGTGTAACACAATGACCACGATTGTGGGAAAACATCAGAACGCTTGCACTATATGACAGGAGGACCAGGTAAAAAAAATAATAATAAAACAGCGATCCTGTCGCCTTTGACGATAAGTGCAAAAAGTGATCACACAGAAGCCGTAGCCACGGTTTGTAAAAACAGTGGGAGATCCCCGAACGTTCCAAATGACGTCGACTCGTACGTCTCAATTAAAGTGTTCGTGCTTCGGTAATCTGGATGATTCAGACTCCGATGTCGCACTGCGATGCTAGAAGGTCTTTTTTCTTTTCAGAAAGAGTTCTGTGAAAAGGCTAGGTGGCGGCTGGACGACCACCGTTTCTTTGAGGCGGTGGTGATCGGGGTGGCGCCAGCAGATCGGCGTACTCGTGGAGGGCTTCTCGCAGCGATCGGCAGACTTGGGCCGACGTTGACGTGCTACAGCTCACGAGGTGGGGATACAGGGCGATCAGTTGCTCCCAAACACTCCATTCAACTGCAGTGCAGAAGCGTTCAAAAGAAAAAAGAAAGGGAGACACAAAAAGAGTAAAATTTAGCACATAATTACCGACTGCGCAGTGAGAACTAAGGCTAGGCAATTAAGGTTAATTTACATCATACTAATGAAAACCTGCTTCATACGTCGGCCACTGCACAGCAGATGTCATGGTGACTAAGCACAGCTGAGGTGTGGCTTTGTTTCACAAGCACCATGGCAAAATGGCAGCAACATCTTCATTTTAATAAAACTCTTCAATCTTTTCAACCAAAAAAGCACAAAACAACATTAAGATTATGCATATACAGCCGTTCCAGAACCTCTTTACATATAACTCCACATGAGTTTTACAATGCAGAAAACGAAACGGCCGCTCATACACCAACTTCATGACACTAGTACTTACCTAAAATATGCTTCTATCAGTTTCTCAGGTGATGGTCCTCTAGAAATAATGTGGCTTGAGCATGCAACTCTCTGAGCTCATTGGGACAATCACTGTCATACCCTCTTCAAGGCAATGTACCCTTGTCTTCTACCATTGATCACCTGCTGTTGTGATTAATACACTTTTTCAAATGTTTCAATCGCAACTACAGCACAATGCCTTGCTCAAATGTCTTTTAGAGCTTATGTCATGGGAAAAATCACCATCATAGCAAACAGGCTTGACGTTGAGGTTTTCACGCAGCCAAGTTGCCATATGTGATAAATATATGTACCTAGTTATAGACTCTGCCAATGCTGAGTACCGTGACGTTTTCGTATTCTCGAATAATTTAAGAGGTCACAGTGCACCAAATGCGAATATAATAAACTTGCTTTAAGAATGCACTAATCAAATGTAATAATGAATGGTACAAATTTGTATAATTACACATTTATTAGTGGACATTACCTGCTAGATGTGTTATTGTATTTATTTACAATTAAGTAGTCTTTTCATTGATTAACAGTGCACTCCTGGAGGATAATTTTGCAGCGACCGTATTCACTTGCGTAATATACGCACTCGTATAATAAACCCACCCCCTCAACTTGGTCCTCAGAAAGAAAGAGAAAAAAGTTTAATGTATCTTTTTATTATATTTCGGTATGATAACCAGTGCCATTGACAATTGAATTATTAAATCAAGTCATTATATCACAAAATAATGATGCAATAAAAGTCAAAATATAGTTTAAAGGGACCATAAAACACTTTTTTGAGTAACCATGGAATTATTTCACTGGTAAAGTGTATTGCCTCACAAATTCAATGCCGCAATAATTTTAAGAATCCCAGTTACAAAGATTAAGTAAGTTACAAAGATTTCTCACACGCTGCAATCGCATTCTCTTTTCTCTCGTCCCGACGAAAGCGCTAGAAGCTAAGCAGGGAGGGATGGGAGGGACAACGAAAGCACGTCACCTGCGACTCGTGAACTTGAGCACTTTTTTCTTTCTTTTTTCTTTGAATGCATGGCTTTATCAGCGTGATCGCGCGCACACGCCTGGACAAGTAGCGTACGTTCTGGGGTGTCCTCTGTAACGAGCGAGCGCGCCACGTTCAAATCAGCCAATGGCTGATAGATGTGCTTACTACGAGTGATTTTTGGGCTTATTCCGTGATTTGTCGAGAGAAGAGAAACCAATTTTTAGATGACTGATAATTTATTGTGAATTCCAGGGTGCGTGCTGCACTGTAACATTTGGCTCGCGTGTTATCGGGAGCCTCTACTACCGATCGGCAGCGTTTTGAGACCACGCTCAAAAAGTGTTGCAGGGCCCTTTTAACAACCATGCCAAACAGTTGCGAGCAGCGCGAGCTCGGACGAGGTCAATCAAAACTTAAATGTTGCGCCTTTTGTGGCAGAGCGCCATCTGTCGAATACATGAGAAACATCTTTGCTTATAGTGCCACGCAAGCACAGCGGCAAAATAACGAAGCAAAAAACAAACCAGCATGGCCTCTGCGACAGTGGGTGTGTGGCATAGAAACACGCCACCATCGAGTGCACACCACACGCCTGCCATTTTGGAGGCCATGTAACATGCAACCATGCCAATGGCAAGTTGTGCTCCCGCAACTTTCGTGCGCTGCCATTCAACGCTGTGTTTTTGTTGTGTTTGTTGTAGTGAACTTAGTTGGACACCTGTTGCGCGAGGTGCGTTCAGTTGGTACACTATCTACACGGCTAATTTTAAACTTAAAGTTGGTCGAGCATGCGCTGGAGAACGGGAACCCACCGGCTGGACGACACGATCCGTGCGCGTTTGTGAAATTAGAAAACAAGAAGAGCTTCAGGCTACGAAAACGATTTGCCATGCATTTTGTGGACCAAGACAAGCAATACCGCTGGGCGAAATTTTCGCTGTTTTAACTACAGTGACTTTTTTCTCCCGCGTAATGAACTCTCCCCCAAACTGGCGCCAACTTTTCTGAAGAAAAGGTGGGTTCATTACGCGAGTAAATGCGGTATGTGGTGTTCCGTTGTCAGTAGTTTGCTACAAATAATCCTGTGTTTCTTTTTACTCTTTTATTGCATTTTCATTCCTCTTTTTTAATATGGAAATATAGGTGCTAAATGTTTCAGAGCCACAATATGATTATGGGGGGCTTTGGAAATTTTGACCACCTGACGTTCTTTAACATGCACTTAAGTTGCCTCCATCGAAAATGCAGAGGGCGCTGCCGGAGGTTGGTTTTGTTACCTTCAGGTCATCAGTCGAGTACCATAGTCACTACACCCTTGCAGCGGGTCCCCTTTCGTTGATACTGAGAGCCTCATAAATAAATAAATTTATGCGCAGTATGCCTGCAATAGCGACCATGAAAAGAAGCTATGCACTACAGATGACGTTACAGTATGTATGTTCGTAAATGAAAACGTCGTCCCACCGTTGTTTGGCGGAGCCTTCTTGAGTGAAGCGGTCAGCGTTGCCACGGCTTTGAGGACGAACGATATTTCGGCCATGCGATGCCGTGGCAGAGGACACTTTCCACTCAACTGTTCGTCTTCCACATAATGGCAGATAACCTGAAATGTACGAAACCGTGTCCAGCGTAGCTCGAAATCTAGTCCCAAATTCCTCAGCTGCCTGATGTAATTAGCCACAAAAGGTTTACAATATTCCATTTCACACATCAGGTGAGATAATGGAAAACTAGCACGACTTCTTGCAGTAGATGTGTTTGCGCCAAGAAATAGTTCGAGGTCTGACCACCCATAATGTAGATGTTTAGAGCGTTGGAAATAAAGCAACCTCGCTACTAATACGGCTGTCAGCAGGTTTCTATGGATTGTTTAACACGTCTTTGTTTTCTGATCATGGCCTTTGTGATCGGTTTCAATATTGCATACCCGAAGCAAATAGCGGAGGTTATGTTCGCAATGACGAAATTCAAACGTGAGACATGCTGGCTTACTAATTTTGCTGACTGAACTTCTAGCATAGTTTACGAACAGTTACACATGATGTATGATGCAGAATATAGACTCTGTTTCCATACCAAGTGTAAATTTTTGTCATCTATAAGGCCTCTTACATTCCTAATTTAATGAACCACAAAAACAACCAAGCTTAAACATTGAGTTCAAGGTTATGCACACAGGTGTTGTCACAATCCTGTGTCCTTTAATGGGACCTTCAAGAGAAAAACAATTTCCTGTCACATTAGTAAGTTACCCTTTCACAATACGAAAATCGCCATGTTTACTGTTAGGAGATTGGTAAGTGAGAAAATGCACAAAAAAAGTGACGTTGCTTTGAATTCCCTATACCAGTCACCGTGATGTCACAAGTTTTTGTTCAATTTCTTAGGGCTTACACAGTTCCTAATTGGTAAAAATAAAGTGCAGAATCTTCCAAGACAGCCAGAGACGTAGCATATCAAGCTTCAGGAAAGTTAGCTGAACCAGTGTGGCTAAAATAAAAAAAAAAACATTTTGAATTCCATGACGTCATCGCTGTAGATTTCGAAGGCCAATTTAGAAATCAAACTTTCAACTTTCATTTTGTAATAAGTTAATAAACCTATGGTGATGAAATTTAATGACACTGCAGTTTTCAGAGCATAATTTATCAATTTTAACTAACTTATTGTTTCCCTTTAGTACCTATAAATGTTCGAGCTCAATTACATGTTTCTGTATTATTGTGCCAGCTATGTAACACTTAATGCTTGCTTTGATTTGAGTTAGATTAATATCCTCTACACCACCAGTATTAACAACATTGTTACTGCAAACATTATCAGCACTCATCGTTGTACCCCTTTAATAATATTTTTTCTCCTTTCTGGTTTCTGTCAAGTAATCTTCTAGAATGAGTATAAAGAGAATGCTTAGGGAAATATATGCATGTTTTAGCGAGATTTTTTCTTTATTATGGATGTGTGCTTCATAGTAGCACTTCACTTGCACGTTAGACCACTGTCAGTAGACATGTCTGCAAGGACCCCAGTCTTGTCAGACGAGGGGTCCTGACAGAACGATTGCATAATTTTTGGGGACAAGAACTGCCGTAGAAGACCGATTACAAATTGATATTGTAAAAAGAGGTAACTTATTACAGGTAGTCATTTACAGGAAAATATAGTTGAATTACCAATAATAACATTACAGTTTCCGAAACGTAGTTTCGGAAAAAGTTATCTGTCCATATATAAAATAACACAAAAAATGGAATTAATTAAAACCAATCGATTACTTGTACTAACGCATTTGGTTGCATTACACACAACTCTACAAGGCGTATAAAACTCACCTCCTGGAACCTATGGAGAAGTGAAGTAACAGCCAGACGGTTGACAACGCCACCCTCTGGCAATACGATGCCACCGAGAAAAGAGAACTGCAACAGCGTCTCAAAGCACGCTTTGGCAAACTCTTCGCGCAGCTTGCGTGTGGACTCTGTATCTGGAAATGTGGGAAGTGGTGAAGTGTTTCACCTTAATCGACTGTTGCAATTAAAAGGGACAGACTTAATTGATGTAATTAAAAAATGTGCATCACAAACAAAGGGGTAACGTTTCCCAAAATAGAAGTATGACTCCTTTTTTTTTTTACTACGATTGCTGATAACAGCATCATGTTGCTGCAAATCAGGCTGCAAAGGATAAAGTTTGCTGTGATGCAAGAGCTCGAGTCAATATTACACAGATATGACACTAACTGTATATGATGAAATGAAAGTATTTAGGTTTTAGACTTAAATTTTCGTACTTCAATCCCCCGAGTACAACCTATCAAAAAGAAAACTAAACTAAAAAAAATGGCACACCGCAGCTAACATTGAGACTGATTTAGCAACCACACGTATTGGTTAATGTGGGCTCAGTCACAGTTTTTAGACATAACGGCCAGCAAGAGAAGCTTAAGAAGCAGAGAGAGAGAAATTTGCAATTTTAGAAAAGCCAAGACAAAAACTGGAAGCTAATGCACATGACAGTATGAAAATTACACGAGATGGTGCCTCAAAACATAGCAGCTGAAAAAAGCTACATAACAGAAGCATACTGATGAGGTTTTGCAGTTTTGCCGTAAATTGAATAAGCACAGTTAGCACTGCAAAATGCCGGCAGATTCTGTGTGGTCTGTATAACAATGCCAGAAGGTTCAGCTACTTGGTAGGCATTTCAAATAAGGCAGAGTCTACTGATTGCTTTTAAAGTGTCAATACGGGCTTGTTGGTGCACACTGCATTTCATAAAAACAGCACTACAACGGGACAGAGAAGGAAGAGACAGGACCAAGCGTTGACTGACAACAAGTTTTTATTTCCCTGCAGTGGAATATACACTCTCGGAAACAAGAAAAATATGAACAAACAAATGAAACGTGATTCATATGCACAGTGAATCATCTGTTTGCATGGCTTCCATATGGTTGCTCGAGAAAGAGCATGATTATCTAAACCACTGAATGTAATCGCTGCACAGGTGCAAAAGAGCTGTAATCATACCTTATATTTTTTTTTCTTGTTTCCATGAGTATATATTACGCTGAGGCAACATAAAAGATCACAGCATACCCTATCCACTGAGTGAATGATGATTGGTGGGGCGAAGCATTCGTCAGTCTGTCCGAGCTTCTGCCCGTCCATTTGTTCTTGCTTCCATCCGTCCATGCGTCCATCCGTGTGTCTGTCCATTCGTGCTATCATCGGTGCGTCCATCCACTTGTGCATCCGTCCGTACGTTCCGTTCTTTCATCCGTTACTTCGTCTGTCTGTCTGTCCACCCATCCGTGCATCTGTTCATGTGGCCATCCCTCTTTCTGTCCATCTGTGCGTCTGCCCCTTTGTCTGTCTGTCCGTCCGTACGTCTGCCAGTCCGTCTATCTGTATGTCTGTCCATACATCCATCTATTTTGTGAACACTCCAAGTACTGCCGTCTCACATCTTTTCACCATGTGTTCATCATATACAAGTACCGCCATCCAGCAGACATTCCAAGGACCGCTCTCTTGGGTATGTGCCACGGGTGGTTATGCACGACGAGGGACGCAAAAGCCACGCCATAAAAAGCTTCGCCTTTAAAACTTGTCATTCAGTGCTTGGTCCTGTCCTGTAGTAGTGATGTTTATTCAAAGTTACTGATTGCTTCCTTGCCGATTACTTCCTCTCTCAATTTACCCACCCAACCTGGTATTTTAGCCTTCCTTTTTACCACATACCCACGTCATTTTCACACTTTCCCTCTCTTTCCCTCTTATTTTGCATGGAAGAGAGTTTGCGAAGCCTACGCATACGCGTGCTTCAGTAGGCAGTTGCTGCTTTGAAGATGGCAAGACCACTAGTCAAAACATTAATTGAATCCAGTAACAACCCACGCCTTGATTAATCTCTTGGTAGAGATTCTTAGTAGCAAACATTAAGTGCGCGCCGCCTAAAAGTACGTACCCACAGGTGTGCTACTCGTTGCCGAATGAATAGAACCCTTGTTCAGGAGGGCAACAATCTTGAGCACAAAGTCCTTCGGCACGTGGCTCGAATGGGGCAGGATGCTCTCTCGTATCAGCTGTACCACCTAAAACAGGAATTCGCAAATACAGCAACGTTTGGTTTGCACGCATTACTGCAGACTTCAGTATTACTGGAAGGTGACAAGAAAATTGTGCCCACAAAAATTATCAATAAAGTCTTGCAAGGAGTCGAGAGTGACGAAAATTCATGTGGTCAGGTATCATGATGAAGATAAGGATGCTATCACTGACCAAGTCGAGGTAAAAATGCAGAGATGTTTCGGGACCTGTACGGGTTCCTCGACTTCAATGAATTCTTCAGTATGATCGACGAACCTGTGCAGGCTCTGAAACGTCTGTGTTTTTACCTTGGCCTGGTTAGTGGCCCCATCTTCATCCTGAAAAACCTGGCAAGCAACGTCCCAAAATGTTTGTATTAAACTAAACTAAAAAATAGCTGCTAAACACCAGGGGCACTAACAGAAAATATTAAAGGGACCGACAACTGACTTTTTTGGATCCAGTTTTTTCCTGCGCGACAGAAAGCTTACCCTTCGTAGTGATAGTAGCGGCAGTAGTTATTCCCAACAGCTCGTAGTCATTTTATAAGCAGTATTTTTTTACCTGAAAGGCTCTGAACACGGTAGTGCATTTTCATCTGGCAACGCTGAGTATTGATAGCGGTGCCGGTAGCCTTTCTGGTGGCTTATGCATGCTGTCGTTCTTATTTTGCAGGTTTTCCTGGAACTATGCTTAACCAGGTTTATTCTGTGCTTTACAACTATTTTTGAAGATAACAAGCCGTTATAATGAGACAGTGTGGCTCTATAAAGCTTCCCTGCACTTGTACCACGTTGCCAAGCCAAGTGATTGAAAACGGAGTGGGGCATATGTCATGCAAAGGCAGCGCCACTTTAATGCATACTAACGCAAGCTTATATGTATACTTTTAAAAAATATCTTTTCCTATAAAAACTCAAACAATATTTCAGTACTAATCAACAAATTGTTGAACGTGTACATTAACGCATGGTCACGTGACAGGGCATTCATGATAGTTTATGTTTTTGCAACCAGAGACGCCACAAGCCATTTCTCGTGATTTTCAATTAAGAAATAAAAATAAAAATACATTTCTCACGAAAAAAAACAGGGTTGGTTTGTGTCACTATAAGGGACTATTTTTCCATCTGTTCAGTCATCTCATTTTATGTTCTGGGCAGTTGTTGGTGCCTTTAATATTTCCTGATTGTGTACCAATACACCATTTTTGATAGTAACAGAGCATTGGAAAGTGAGAAAGCATCGAAATACAGAAAATAGACCGGCACTCACTGTCATGCTTCGTGGGCACATCAATAAATAACAGATACATGTTAGATGATGCACTCAAACAAGAATGGGCTAATATATTTAACAAGACCGTAGAGACACCTGCAAGCAACAGTAATGAGGGATATGAGAGGGAACATTGCGATTACTTTCCAAGAGGCCATAGCGGCTAAATGCAGTCACAAAACACAAAAATGTTCATGCAGAAAAGTACCAATTGCAAATAAATGCACTACATTCATATCTGCATATCCCAAATATTTGTCGCTTAAACACAAATTCATTATTCCACTTTACATAGACTGCAACTGAAGATATTGTGACAACGTTCAAATACCACCTATCAACCTCACAAATAAACTGGAGCTAGTTTGATATACCGCAGAATTCGTTATGAAACTTTTAAGGAATATGTCATATTTCTCAGCGAACATTGGTCTGCAAGGTGGCCTCCGGGCGCTGCTTGATGGTTATGCAAGGGAGACACTCTCACGGGAAAGCGCAAGAATTTTGTTGAGTCTTTATTTCCCCACAGTTTGCAGTTGGCGGGGCAAGTTATAAGCATAGGCGAGTTATCCGTGAGAAAACACGGTTTTGATATAAACAGTGCTTCAATGTGTTCACAGGCGGCTGTGCAAATTCGTTGGGTGTCTCAGGTGTCCGCCTTGGCATCGCTCACGCTTCCGACTGCATGCGGGAAAGCCCCATTCCACGAGAAAAAGAATCCAACTTCTCGGAAGGGAAGGCCAAGCATTTTGGGGTGTTGCGTGCTGCCCAAGGAGTGTGCCAGTTTATTTTTTTTTCTTTGACGCAGCCGTAGATTTTTCTATGAATTGACTATTAAGCCACTGTCGTGTTTGAAAGTAGATCGATATAAAGGGGTAACCCCATTTACTCGAGTTCTATATAGCTGGGTTTGATTACTGATAGGAACAACATAGCGAAGAACTGTCGTTCCAATTTGAAGCAGTTTGGGAAAGGGCAGGAAGCAGAGGAGGTACATTCGAAACTTATTATAACAAAGTTTTATCTTACCTGAAACTAAGTTTGTTATATCCAAAAATGTATTATAAAAGCATATTCCTAACACTTACTTATTGCAAAAGTATTTCTAATTTACTTCATTACAACCGATATTTTGTTATATCTGGGTTCATTACATTGAAAATGGAGTGTATCAGAGCATGGTTTCAAGACGATTCTTATATTGTAAAGCGATGCACAATATGAGAATGAGTGAACTGTGCGGTGATTTAAAAAACGTATATCAGCAGAAAGATCTAAGAAAAATGTCTACATGCATAGAAAAATCAGCAGGGAGGTTTGCTTTTGCAAGACAGTTGGGAATAGAATGAGAAGAATAAGCACATAACAGTATACTGGGCATGTTAAAAATGCATGTGAAAGGCACCAGGAAAGTAAAGATACAATGCGGCTTCACATTCACTGGCACCTAAAAGGAACTCGACTAAACGCAGATTTTACTACTTTCTATAAAAATCGCTCCATTGAAGCTCAGTACAAACCACTTTCTACATGTGACCTTAGTACTATAATCCTCTATATATAGCCCATGTTTCTTGAAATACCACACGACTTACAATCGTTCTCCCTTCAGTTCATCACACGTGCAGAGATCTTCAGGCAAGTGCGTATACTGCTAAATCGGAAATGTATTTGCTCTCACTGAGTAGCTCACACAGAAGGTAAAGGACACAGGTTTCGTCAAACATAGCTGCAGCACCTTAAGTGTGACAGCCCAACAGAGCTTATACAAAACAAAACAATAAAGAGCTTCCACAATGAAATGGCTATGTAATAATCGATACATAGTGTCCCCACTTTTTTTTTCATAGAGCATTAATTGTTGTCCAGTCCCGGGCTTTCAGTCTCAGAAGAAGTGCACCATTTCATTTATCTGTTAAGGTGACTCATGCTGTCCGATGACACGAAGAATGTTTTCCAGCTAATGTGCAAGAGCAGCTTTAGAAGCGTACGAAGAGCAGGAGCAGTTTAGCGATAAATGTCGGTCATTCACAGTTCCAGAATATGCCACAGTGTCACGAGTACCAATCCACCATTCACGTAGGTAGCCGCGATAAGCAGCGTCAGTGGCAGTGACACCACCGCCATTCGATGAGAGACAACATGGTATACATATAACGGGTTGACAAAAGGCTTTGGTGCATTACGGAACATGTTCATTATAATGCCAGGCCTGTAGATAGTGGGCATGCACGTTTTTAGAATGGACGCAGCAATCAAAAGACGAACCTTGCAGTCCAACATTTCATCGCACTGCTGATCCTCCAGGCTCTGGGTTGGTGGTGGATTGCTGCGTTATTTGAAAAAAATCAGAGGTCTTTTAACGATTGTCACTTTCCGTCGCACTAAACATAAACAGTCTCTCACTTATTTTAATGAGACACTGAAGTGCTGCAACAAACCAGTCTTTACCAATAAATTGTTATCCGTGAACTCTGCTCTCATTAGTTTTGCAACTATAGGGTTTTTATCACATGAGAAATCAAAACAAGTATGAAAAAGTTGAACTGAACACGGGTCACCTGATTTTCATAGCACCAAGGTGCACCTGTTGTACATTAAGCTTGGTTTTCTAGCTCTTATCACTTATGAAACGAGAACCAATTCATGTGACACAACTTCCTTTTCATCGTGAAGATAAGCAGCCGAGTCGTCAATAACAAGGGAGGGTGGGGGGAGGAGGGGTAAGCATTATAATGCTACTATACTCTGTTTCAGAAGTTCCCTTCAGCACTCTGGAGGCTACAGGGCCTCCAGCCAATAGGAAAGGCGATTAATCCCTCCACATGTAATGATCTGCGCCGTGTCGTCTGCTCACCATCTTCACAGCGTCTACTCGCCTGATTGTCCTTGCACGATCATTGTATGTAACATGGGTGCTTTAATAACTTTAAGAAATAAGTAAAACTGTCGGACAAACCATTACGCTTCAACTTCAGGAAGTTTGTCGTCTTAACAATATGATTTGTGGCTCTACTGAAGATCGGTAGATGCTCATGCCGGCGGATAACTTCACTTTGTGGGTCTAGGACGCTGTTTGTGGCTCTGGCACGACTGCTTCTCTGTTGAAGCATTTCCTACCATCTCTCGCTGCAATGCTTCTCTTCTATCTTTTTCTGTTTCACACTATCTTTTTTTTGTTTCACTGAGGCTGCATCTGATGCGTGCGGATCACTGCGCGAGGTTGCATGTCCGATATCTTGAGATGCGCAGCGTTCTTGGTCTGGCCACACAGTCCAAGCCCTGGCCTAGGCGCGTTAGGCTTATCAGATGCGGCTACGCAAGCAGCATATTTTGCTAATAACGACCAAATGTACCTTATGCTTCATCCTCAGAGCAAAATGGAACAAATCGATGGCTGATTTTACCATTTATTTGTTATTGTCAGTGCAGTGGACATTTAGCAGGAGCAAATTCGGATCGAAGCGAGCGGTCGCTTCTGCATGGGGGCTGCCATGTCGATTTGTAACCACAGTTCCTTGCGGTAACCGACACAATTTAATAGTTAAATGCGTAGCAAATATCGTGTATTGATGTGGCGCAACACAAAGCAAACAAACGCCAATTTTAGACAACCCTGCCATTTTCAAGGCACTTATATCTAGAACTATGCTTCACTGCGCAAGCGTGTGGCTTTCTTATACCCCGTAGCTTTGGTAGTGTTGAACCAAAGTGGTGAAAGAGAGTATAAGTACCTTGCACAAACTTCCAAACTTTGATCACAACAGGTTCATTTTGTGTGGTTCACTCACAACGTTGGACAGTTAGCGGGGCTTGAATCCCCACTTGAAGATGGCTACCGAAGACCCGACACCAAATTTAGGCCAGAAGCAGCCAAGTTTATAGCAACAAGACCACTAAAATGGCCACACTGACCCAGTTGAAAAGTTACTAATATACAAATAATTTATTGTAGACGAAAATAATGAACAAACTTTCATTTTTGTGCGTAAATCAAGTTAACAAGGCCAGTTCAACAGAAATATTACTCCAATTATGTAGAGCTCCTTCTTTCATTGCTACATATTATATTACTGAAGAAACAGTGGTCATCAAACTTGCTTAGAGGTTAAATCAATTATAACTTACTAGTTAATACCAACCAGCTTTTTGCAAGGGCAAAATATTCAAATGTAATCAGTTCGATGGTTAAAAAAGAAAGTAAATGTACACTTTGCATACACAATAAAAATGATGTTCTTTAGTAGTTCCTCAAGGCATGACTAGGATAGAAAAAATTTCAAGACATTGACCCATAGCATGAAGCAAAAACAACAATAACAAGAATTAAAATGCAGCTTTGTACGAACACAATATTAAAACGTGCATGAAACCTCTGAGCATGACATTTCAGGTCTACACGCCATTGCTCATGATATTAACTACAATAGTTGCACAGATGCTCTCGGGCAAGGTATTGGCTATCAATCACTCCAAACAAAGGCAGCACGTCTGCAATTTCCAATCACACCAAAGCAACGCACTGCACAGTGTTGAACAAACAAGCGTTGAACCCGTCCGAGATTTTTAAGAAGCTAACGACCTCCCAATGCTCTGTGAATTTCAAACCTAACCACCAGGTGTCACAACGTGTCGATTGTCGCATGAATCTTCTGCCCATTGCGGCACAACATTTTCTATTGACACTTGTTTTCGTCGCCTGGCTGTTAACCATGAGGATCGTGACACCCAGAGTCATTACACTGTCCTTGCATTTGACAGCTTCATCTGAAGGTCTCACAAGACCGTGCAACCGACGTCAAACGCATAGAAGATGGATATTTCAACCTGACTTATAGTTCTTTCGTGCCCCCTCTCCCCATTATAATTTCAGACCTTCAGTGAGTCACCCCTCATAAGGTGACAAGCCGGTCGGCAATCGCATACAGTACCCGCGAAAGGGCTCCAACTCCTTAAATATTTGTGCAAATGCCTCTCCCTACGTGTTGCCGAACGACAACACGGCACATTCTAACCGCTGCGCACTTACGCGACAACGTCACTGCGAGACAGTTTCAAAAAACAGAAAATGAAACGAGCGAAAAAAAATATAAAGCACGAAAGCGAGCTATGTTGTTTTGTCAGGCATATCGATGGTCGCGAAATGACAGGCAGCGGCAACAGTTCAAGATGAGGGCAGACTTTGACATTTGCGAGACGATTCTGTGCGCGCTCTGCAACCTTGGTACGAGGTCATCCAAGTACGCTCGAGCTTAAAAATCTTTTCGAAACTAAATGACAGCACTTGCGTTGATGGATAGCAAATGGCGTCAGTCGCGAGAGAAATTAACCGTCAACTCAATGACCCATGGTAACACTTGAACACAAAGCAACGGCACGGCTGTTGAAAGCGCGAAGCACAGTGTCGCGGGAAAGTTCTTGCTGTAAGAGGAAGTGCGGAGAGTGATCCGTTAGTTTTGTTTCCATTGTGATTTCTGATAAATTATGAGAAAATGGTGAATCCTTCAACAAAGCCTTCCAACTACATTACAAACATCGTAAAACGTAGCACACAGTCATTTAAAAAGCGATTAGGAGCTGTGAGAACGCATATTATTTGCTAAAGAATTTTATGACTGAATTCCTCAGTGGCACACAGCAAGGAATATGAAAAGGCACACATATTTTATTTCTGTATTTTTTTACAACATAGCAGCCTTGTACTTCGCATTCAAGCCACTAGCCTGAAATGCCAACATAGAAACAAAAAACACACAAAACAGCAAGAACACAGGTTCCTTTTGGTTTCAATGAAGCATACCAAAATGTCTTTTCATTCATGACGGCATAGAAAAATAAATGTTTAACGTGAATGCTGCGTACAGCCCACCATGAGTATTAATTCACTAGAATGACAAAAGAGAAGCCTGCATGAACGAATACAGCTGCCCGAAATAGCAAATGAAAATTCTAGTGACAACTTAATGGTAATGCTAATAAAATAAAAAAAAGTAAAGGAACAAGAAATGAAACGTATGCTGAAGCAGTACCTAAACGAAATGAAAAGACAATTATTTTCACTGAGATGGTCATTCTCTAAGCTGCATGAAAATTAAAGAAACTGTCAATGTCCTCATTATTAGCGATTTTTTTTCCCGCGCTTTCATATACTAGAAAGAACACTCAGCAACTCTTCCACTTGTCAGTCTTTAAATGTCTTTTGCCATAGAGACCTCTAACAGTATGTACAGTTCAAGCGCTAGCGCTATATTTTCCACTAGTATCAATCATTGATACACTGATTTAAAATTTACGCCTAGATAAACTCATTTGGTATCAAATTTAGTTGGACCATGTTTTGTTACTTATCAGTGCAAATTTTACTGAATGAAAACAGCGAAAATAGTTTAGAACAGTGAAGAAAACGAGAGAGAGAGAGAGAACAGAACAGTGACGCATGATTTGCTTTGATATGTCGTGTGTCAGAAGGTACACAGCATACGTGAAGAATTGCACAAAACGATTGTGAACCTGTAGCATGATGTGCTCTTGCCTTTCTGTTCTTCTGTTGATATGCATAAGTCAAAGTTTGAACCAAAGCTGTGTCTATGTGGACTGATTTGTTCTCTCTCTCCTATTACACACTTCAAGGTGCACTCCTGGTGGAGCTGTTTGGAGTGGTGTTTGGCTGAAAACAACTACACCATCTACTGCTAAAGAAAACCATGTGTGCGAAGCAGAGGGCGCTAACGCTTACACTGGCGGTGGCGTTCATGCTCGCGCTCATCGCGGTGTTGCGCAGGAGAGAAACCTGCAGAGGCCCAAAGTACGCAGTGGTAGACCGGTGTTTCCTACTAGAACACGCCAATCACTGCCATTGGACAATGAGAGACAGGAGAGGCAGAAGACTCATTGAATGCAGAGACCCACAGTTTTCTTCTAGTTGACGTGCACCAAAAACGCACCCGGAAACTCTCCCACCTTGACTTTGGAGGTCAAGATCCATTACGGGGTGGCCAATGAACGGTCGTGCGGAGCAAGCAGGCGGTTTTTTCAACCATGAAAGTTGCTAGCAGATGCTGCCTGCGTCGGCGACGCGAGGCTCGACAGGGAGAGGGGATGCGCAAGCACAGTAAAGGTGGTCACACAACACACCGAATATAACTCGAACATTACATGCTTCCCTATATAAAAGTTATTCGTACGTGGAGTTCTTTAGGGCCTATTTACCTAGCGCTATCACCACAGCCGCACAGCATGTGCCGGGACACCTGCCGCGAAAAAAGAGAGCGTATTGGCGACGCTTTCGCTTTCAGCTTCTGTGTGACAGGTGTCCAGCCAGGTGCGATG